TGGTTTTTGAGGGAGGAAAAGCAGAGAGGTCTCCTACCCCATGACATCATGCGTATCCCAGAACACCAACCTCTGAGTCCCACCCTCGGATTGTCGTGCAGCGACTGGTCGCCATTCATTTGGACAGCATTTACTGAGCAGCTAACCCAGGCCAGGTCTGCCCTGGATGCTGGAGACACAGACACGAATGAGACCCAACCCCAGGTTCTGGGCAGTTTACGGAAATACTAATGCAGTGGTTCCCACAAGGGGGCGGTTTTTGATCCCTAGGGAGTATTTGGCAATGTCTGGAGATGTTTTTGGTTGTTGCGACTTGGGGAAGGAGACGCTATTGGCATCCGTGGGTAGAGGCCAGTGATATTGCCAAACGTCCTATAATACATAGGAAAGCACCCCCCACCCCACCCGGGGAAGAATCATTCACCCCATCAAAAGTGCCAGGGTTGGGAAACTTTGGTCTAATAAAAGTATAAGAGACAGAAACACACCAACAGCTCAGCAGGTCAGTGCTGTGACGAAGGGAAGCGTGGGGCTGTGAGGTATATAGACTAGCTTGGGGCTGGGGTGTTGGCAAAAACTTCCCAGGGACAAGGCTCCCCTCCAGGGGGTTTGGGAAGGTGACCACATGGTGAGGGTGGATGGAGAACAGGACACATGGGGCCAAGGCCCAAGCGCAGACACGTAGGTACAATGAAGCCCAGTGGGAGGGAAGTAGAGGGCAAGGGTGGGTCACTGCGGCCTTGGAGGCTGTGTTAAGGAGGGAGACGTCATCCACAGAGCAGCGGGAAGGCATGGTGGGAGGAGTGAGGCAAGCAGGGCAGAAAGGTTGGCAGACGTCTGCTTCAGAAAGCTCCCTGCTCACGGGGATACAGGGATTCCCAGGCACTGCTGGTGGGAGGGTAGGTGAGTGTAGCCGTTCTGAACAGAAATCTGTCTCTTGTCAGTTATTAAGTTTATGTATACCCATGACCCCGAAATTCCCCTCGTGGGCACACTTCTCCGGGAAATCCTCCCATTGGTCCATAAAGAGAGATGGGTGAGAGAGAAGGGGGGAGAAGGTACAGAAAATAAGTAGCATAGACAGTAGATAGAAAATAGATGGGGGGGCAAGAATAGTATGGGAAATATAGAATCTAAAGAACTTGTGACACATGGACATAAACTAAAGGGGGGAATGGTGGGGGAGGGGGTGTGCATGGTGGAGGGGAATGAAGAGGGGGATAGGACAACTGTAATGGCATAATCAATAAAATATATTTTTTAAAATGCATGGCCCTGGCTGGTGGCTCAGATGGTTGGAGCATTATCTCAGACACCAAAAAGGTTGCAGGTTTGATTTCCAGTCAGGGCACCTACCTGGGTTGTGGGTTCGAACCCCAGTCAGGGTGTGTATGGGAGGCAACTGATTGATGTTTCTCTCTACCTCCCTCTCTCTCTAAAATCAACAAACATATCCTTCCGTGAGGGTAAAAAAATAATAAAATGTATGTACTAAAAGTTGCATTTTGTAAGAACATGTACAAGCTGAAAATAAATACCCATTAAGACACAAATTGGTTCTGGGGCATAAAGGGAATAATGAAAAAAGGAGTGGTAGAGAGCTCACTTGAAGTGGAACAAAAGGGTGGGCAGCGGGTGGGGGCAGCTGTGTGGACAAAAGCACAGGCAGGGAGACCCAGCTGGAGGCTTCAGAGAAGGGTGGGGGCGCTGGGCTGCAGTGAGGCACGACGAGAATGATCAGACCTGTATGAGATTAAGGAGAGAGGATTTTCAGAACCTGGTGGTGGATAAAGGGGGGAGGACCAAGGTGCCCAGGATGGTGCCCAGGTTTCTGGGTGGATGACTGGGGACATCCGCCAGATGGCTGGCTGTGCAAGGGCAGAGCTCAGCAGAGGGATCTGAGATGGAACAGGTTGGAGACTCATCTGCATACAATGGTGAGTGGAGATTCCCTGGGTAAGTCCATGGAGTGGGAAGAGACACAACTATGAGGGGCATCTACATTTAAGCTCCTGTTGGGGATAAGGGACCCAAGAAGTTGACCACACAATCATCCTGTGATAAATGATAAGGCCAAGGCCATCAGGATCCTGGGCTGAAGAGAGAGTAGCAAATGGGTCCTTTTGCATAGACTTTTCTGTTGCCAAGAATGATTGCAAGCATTACCTCCTTTGAGTCTCATGCTAGGCCTACAGACTTATGGGGAAGGTAGGCCAGCTTTATTGTCTACATTTGATATACGAGGATAGGGCACACAAAGAAATCACACAAGGAAATCACACAAGGAAATAAAAGTGTGAGTCGCAAAGGTCTCCCACCCATGCCTCAGCCCTTTCCAGCCAGAGACACTGCTGCTTCCATGGGCAAGAACCTAGGTCTGGGGGTGGTCTTGACAAATGGTAGCTGCAATAATCACAATCCAGGTGGCCTCAAAGCTCAACAGAGGCTAATAGGCTCAGTTACTGGTCAAGGACCCCAAGTAGTCTGGAGTTGGAAGGGTCAAAGAGCACTGGGCAAGTCACCTTTTTTCTCTGAGCCTCCCCTATCGTCACTTGTGAAGTGGGTTCTTCACAGCATTTTATAGGAATCAAATTTAAAATGGAAGCAAAAGGAAAAAGTGGGCTCTGTATTCAAAAAGCAAGAATATAACGAAGGGAAAAATAAGAACAGAAACTGCAGTTAGGGAGCCGTGTGGAGCAGAAAGTGTAGAAAAGGTTTGGGTGTGGAGGAAAGGGACCAGGTGTTCTGCTGTGTGTGGGTGAGTTACAAGGGAAAGACACGGTCCTGGCCCTGGAAGGCTCATCGCCCTCCATGTGTCATCCTTAGCCCTGCCGCCTCCCTCATCTTTGTATCAAACAATGACCAAGCCCTGCAGCTCCACTGTTGGGCTTCAGATTTCTTCTCTCCCTGGGCTTCTCACCAACAGTCTCCTTGTCAATCTCTTAACCCAGCCTCCCTCCAACAATTCTTCACCTGGCAACACAGGCCTTCCTGAGACAGATTCGCCTGTAGGTCTTTTCCACAGCTAACTATCCTCTGCAGGAGGAAGGCCAATGTGTGATCAGGCCCTGTGGCCCTCGCCCACCTTGCTGGCTTTACTCTCGAAGTACCCAGCACACTGGCTGTCACACACCCCCATGCCTCTCTGCATGTGGACTCCCACTGCCTGAGGTGCCCAACTGTTCCTCCAGCCTCCATCCATCTGCAGAGCTCTTCCTCATCTCTATGTCACCTCCTCTGTGAAATCTCCCTGAATCCTTCTGTGACGAGAAAGGAGGTCTGACCATGGGCAGGTCTGACTAGGGCCGGCTGGCAGTGTTGTGGGTTCTTGACTTGTGCAGAAAACATTTCCCAACACAAGTCCAGGTAACTGTGAGTGTATGTTTATTAAAGCTGGGGATGGTGAAACAAGGAGGGCTTAGGATAGAAGAAGCAACAGGAGAGAGCCTAGGTGGGGCTGCTTTGGTTCTCTAGAAACATAGGAAGGAAATGACCACAGGTGAAGCTGCTGTCAGCTCACTGGAAAGTCAGAGAAAAAGAGCCTTGGAAACAGGGTCAGGGGGTCAGCCTAGAACAAGCTGTCACTGCCCATTGTTCCCCTGGTTGCAGGTCTCAAGGGATCCTTGGAGTTTAGGAGATACAGGCCTTTGGAGAAAGAAGAGGGGGAAGGGAAAGGTGCAGGTGTGCTCCCTGGAGGGATAATGAGTGCTGAGTCCTCTGTTTTGAGGGTTTTTAAAGGTTGGGAATTTAAGGGAGGTCTTAGGGGAGATCTCGATGGAATATTTACCAGCTTTTCCAGGTGTATGCTTTCAGGGTTGTGGTCTCCACTGACTGGTCAGCACCAGGACAGGGGAGTCATTAGTCATAGCAGCTGAACCTGGCACTGCCCACCTGGTTTTGCTGCTTTTTGGGGCCTGGAGCTGAAATACGACTGAAGCCTAGATGTTATCTCCAGGGAGGTGACCGTCTGTACCTTACTTTACATTGTTTGGCCAGTTTGTTCAGCTATATCTGTTTCCCCTTTCTACTTCAGAAGGCATTTTCCTAGCTTCTTACTGCCCTGACTCACAGCAGGTAACACCCACTCCTCTGTGCAGACCTGTAAGCAGCTCTGATTCCCCCTGGTCTATGGCCTGGCTGCCTTTCCTTCTAGTCCAGCTGTGGGCTCCTTGAGGCTGTAGCACCCAATCCAGGACTGGCAGCCAGTCGCTGCCTAATCCAGTGTCTGCTGAAAGGCTCACCTGGCCTGGAGGCCTTATTCCATCTCAGTTGTGGGGGATGGGGGTGGTAGGGCGTGGTTAAGCTCAGAAATAGACATCTCTGATTATACCACATCTTTCCCCCAAACTCTCCAAAAGGTCCCATTGCACTGAGGAAAATTCCAGTCCTCAGGATCAGGCCCATTAACCCTCCCACCTCACTTCCTTCTTTCTCATTCTTCTCCAGCACCCCATCCCTCAAGCTCCCCAGACTGGGGCTCCCCCCGACATGTTTCCTCCAAAAGGAATGCTCTCCGCCACCCTTCCCGACCGCCCATCTCCTCATCCCAGCTACACACCCTGGCCACTCCAGGGCTTCTTTGCTGCAATGCCTGTCCAGCTGTTTAAGTTTACTCCCTTAGCTCTCCCTACCACCTGACAAAGTCGCACATCTTCTTTGTTTACTGTCTGTCTGTCCTCACTACCTTATGAACTCCTAAAGGGCTGGGATTTTTATCTGCTTTGCCCACCACTGTACAACAGGCCTGGAACCCAAGGAGGAGCTTAGATAATCTGCGTTAAACGGCTGAACAGACGGGCAAATGAAGAATGCCGCTCGGCGGGAAACTGGATTTATCCACCCCTTTAGAAACATGCGGGGGGCGGGGCTGAGGCTGAGGCAGGGGGCTGTTGGGAGGGGCGGGGCAGGTGCTGTCCGTGAGCTGGTTGGAGCCCGGTCGGCCACGCCCCAGTATCCGGGAACGCCGGGCCTGCGTGCCGACGCAGTGCGGAGGATTTAGGGAAGGGCGCCCGCGCCACCGGAAACTGTCGCAGTTTTCGGCGCCAAGAACGCGGGGCGGTGGCGAGAGAGTTCAGGAGCCGCCATGGAGTCGCTAGACCCGGAGATCATCGCTGCCTTGGCTCCAGACTCGTTCCTGGAAAAATTCGAAGGCCCGTGTTATAGTGGCCGCTTCCACGAGGGCCAGTGGGAAGAGGTAGGCGGGCGGGTGGGTGGGCTCCATACTTATTGGGAGGGATCGGGAGGGGGGCGTCTTGCGGATTTCGGCGGCTTCCTTGTCCCCGGATCCCAGACACTGCCACCGACACGTGGTTTCTACTCTAATGTTAACCGGCCTGGAGGGATTTAGGGTCTTTTTAATCTGTTAGTACATTTAGGACTACAGGTTTTGGAGTCAGACTTGTGACTCCACCCCTCACTGGCTCAGATGCAGGGTCAGTTGCTTAACGTCCCCAAGCCGTCTCTTGGATCTGTAAAGTTGCCTTAACTGTAGTACGAATCTCATAGGATTGTGGCGAAGACGAAGGAACATTTAGCGCTCAGTGACTGATAATTACTGAGCACTTTTGTAAGAATGTCATAACTGAAAGAATCTTTAGAGACCATTAATCTACACTCTCATTTTACAGGTGGGAAACTGAGGGCTGGATAGGGAGCGATATAGTTAATCATGATGTTTTGCAAATCATAAGAAAACTTTGATGTAGAGGCTTGGATCTACTCCTTGGCAAATCCCATTTGTATAGTTCACTCTTGTCTTAATCTCTAGGAATTTGAAAAGATCCCCCTATTTATGAAGAAAGCACCATCAGAAATTGATCCTCTGAAGAATCCTGAGTTGGCTTGCCTCCAGTCAATTATTTTCGATGATGAGCGCTCTCCAGAAGGTATTTTCCATGATTCTAACATTTGTTCTGTGTCTTCATTGAATTGAGGTAAAGAGTGAGTCGTTCTGGCCCTGGCTGGGGTAGCTGGGTTGGAGCATTGTCCCATAAACGAGGTCACTGGTTCCATTCCCAGACAGGGCACATGCCTAGGTTGTGGGTTTGGCCCAATCTGGGTGTGTTGAGAGGCAGTCGATGGATGTTTTTCAGACCAGTGTCTGTCTCCCTGACTTCCCCTCTCTCTACCATCAGTAAGCATGTCCTGTGGTGAGGGTTAAAAAAAAAGAGTAAGTCATTCTGATTTATAACAAGTGGTAGTTAGCCTGAGATAACCTGTCATTGTCTATTCCACATACAGTGTTTTGGATGCCCAGTAAATGCTAGGCGTTAGAGATGCAGGGATGAGGAAGGCTGCCCTCAAATGTCATGCTGCAGTGGATAACCAGACTGTCCTAAAGAATCAGGACGAGCCTGTGCAATAGGTGCCAACATGTAGCTGTGTATTGGGTGCAGCTGGAACATTGAGGCAGACATTTGAACTGAATCTTAACAATTTCATAGGCTAGCATGAGGATGGAATTTGCATTCCAGTGCAGTAAAATAACACAAGCAAGAGAGAAGGGTAATTCTACCCCCCATTTCTTCAGTAATCAAAAAAAAAAAAAGTTCTTTAAAAGCTAGGATAAGTATGCTTTTTTTTCCCTGCATGCTTACTTCTTTGTAAGCACTTAATAGTCTGCCATGTAAAATATTTGGAATTGATGGTAGCATTAAGTAAACATGACTTTGTTTCTCCATTTTAATACCGAGGTTTATTGTACTTTTTGGGTTTTGTTTCCCTATTGGTTTCTTTTTCGTTTATTATGTTTCATTGTTGCATGATTTAGAATATTTTAATGAGCCTATTAAAAAGTAGGAAATAACAAAAAAGGAAATAATGATTTTTTTTTTCTTTGCAGAACAGGCCAAGACCTATAAAAATGAGGGCAATGATTACTTTAAAGAAAAAGACTATAAAAAAGCTGTGACTTCATATACTGAAGGCTTAAAGAAGAAGTGTGCAGACCCTAATTTGAATGCTGTGCTTCATACCAACCGGGCAGCAGCACAGTACTACATGGGTAATTTATTCCATTATTGAATGTTTTCTAAGAGTTAACTTATAATAAAGCCATTATGGTGGCCAGTGGAGATTTTGAGGATGTCAGGAAGAGGAGCTGCTTATCCCAGATGCCTGGGATTATTTACTCTTAATTGAACTCTGATCTTCCAGGTAGACTTGGTGAAAAGGGAAACCAGATAGATTGGCATAATTTTTGCTACCTGAACCAAATGAGTGATATCAAATACCTAAATTATATGAGTTGGTGTGATCTGGGATTTTTTTTAGCCCAAATGCTTCTATTTCCTAAAAAAAAGTCCTTTTATCCCTTCCCCCCACCCCCTCCTTCTCAAGTATGCTATTGCAGAAGGATTACCATAAAAGAGAACTTTGTGTGAAACTGTATTATCTAAGGGAGAATTTCTCAGTGTTCTGTGGGACTCTTGAAATAAAAAACATTTGGACAAGTAAGTTTGGAAAGTGCTGCTTTGTGGGGAATTTGCAGTGTGCATTGATATGCTAAGGACTCAGGTAACCTACATCAAAGAACCTTACACGGTGAATCTGAGTTTTGTAAACCATGTCTTCAGGTAACACTTAGCATGCAGTACTCTTCTGTAGATGTGACTTTGTGAAACATTGATTATTTACTAGTGACTAGTCTTGGTCATTTTAAACCCATGTTTCTTATCAAAGAGCTGAGAGAGCCCAGTGAGCCCAGGCTTTCTGAGGGGCTGGGAGACAATGAGCCTTACAGTCTGGCTGGGATGAGTCTGATGGCGCTCACCACCATTTGAGAAGGGTTTCTCCTCAACCATCGTCCGCTCCACCTGTTTTCAGCCTGTTCCATTACAAAATTCTAAAAAATAAGAGTGGTATAGCACTTTGGGGATTATTTGGGCCATGGGCCAGCCAGTGCCTTCATTTTGCATAGGCCCAGAGAGAGGGACCCTTTGATTGAAGCCTGAACCTGGACTAGAAACCCAGTTTTCTGATTCCTGGATAAATACATTTTCTTCATTCGGGAGACAGTATTCTGTGCCAGGTACTAACATCATGGAGATGAGTAAGACCTGACCTTTACTGTGTGCTGGGCACTGCACTGTGAGCAAGACCTACATGGTACCTTTCCTTGGGGAACTTAGAGATGCCATTTATAGGGCTAATAAGAACAAGCACCTTGTAAGAAAAAAACGTGTGTGTGCAAGACACCAGAGGAGCAGATGCATAATAGTGAGAGCCATTCCTTATTTATGTCACTGGTAGGGCTTACAAAGCATTTCACATTTCTTATCCTTTCAACCTCATAGCAGCTATATAAGGTAGAAAAATTCTTAAGGAGTATTGTTGGAGCACAATGTACTAATTTACTTTCTAACTTACCATTGGAGTGCGCTTTTCCCATATCCGGATATTATCTCTTTACCAATTTTCATGTTAATTTTAATTCCTCTAATCATTCATGAGGTTGAGCATCTTTTCATGTACTTATTAGCTAGCCATCTATAGTTCTGTGGATTGGTTGCCTGATAGAAATATTTCTAAGGCTTTTGATTAGCACAATTATATATATTTTCCTAAAAACAGGTCTGATTTAATTTATCTAAGATTGTACAAGAATGTCTTTGTCTCTATGCACAAAATTTTGGAAATATTTTTTATCTCAAAACTTGTTATTTGTTTTATGAAATGGTGTCTCATTAGGCAATTTTCGTTCGGCGCTCGGTGATGCCATGGCTGCCAGGAAGCAAAAACCCTGCCACCTCAAAGCCATAGTGAGAGGTAAGTCTTGTAGAACTGCAGTATGATTTTAAGTAAGGAAAAGTTAACTCCCAAAAGTTGAGACATGGTAAGCTTTTTTAAAAAAAGTTTTAAAAAATCTTAAAAATTTATTTTTAGAGAGAGAGGAAGGGAGGGAGAAAGGGGGAGAAACATCAATGTGTGGTTCAGATAGGTAATTAAAAATCTAGTCCTTTGTGTTTTAAGAATTTATAGAGAAATTGAAATTTCTCCTTTCAAATTAATAAAGAATATAATTAACTAAAGCAGTTCCAAAGCCACATTCTAATTTTTTCCCCAGTTTTTTGATTGAGCCCTGGCCAGTGTGGCCCAGTTGGTTGGAACACCATTTTGTAAACAGGAAGGTCACTGGTTCTATTCCCAGTCAGGGCACATGCCTAGGCTGTAGGTTCGGTACCCAGTCAGGGCATGTACTGGAGGCGACTGACTGATGTTTCTCACATCGATGTTCCTTTCTCTTTCTTTCCCTCCCTTCCCCTCTCTCTAAAATCAATGAGCATGTTTTTGGGTGAGGATTAAAAAAAAATTTTTGTTGCTTGAATGGTGAGATCTTCAAATGCCATGTTAATGTTAACTAAAAGATAAATTATTCGACCTGTGTTGATACTGTGATGCTGAGATGTGCCCAGATCACTTTTTTCTTGTAGTCTGACCTTTGTGTGATAATAGAACTTATATTACTTTTATACCTCACCTTGAGAAGTTTAAAGGTGCTTTACAAACTTTAATTTATTCCTTAAATATTAATTTTCTCTATATCTCCATGGACCAACTTAAAATGCTTTATTCAGGTTTCTCTAAAGAAGATATTTATGGTTGGTATGGTTAGTAGGTCCATCATAGGGAGGTCCATGGTTAGTAGGTTCCTCATAGGGAAAGAAGGTACTGAATAAAGATGGACAAGTAAATTGAATGTGGTCCTGTGGAATTGGCCTCGGGCTGGAAGTCTGTAATCCTTATTGAACTGTCAGTTTTACCTTACTGTGTGACCTTGGCAACACACCCATTCTGAGTATTGTTCAGAATGAGATTTGTTCATCTTTGAAAGATGAAGTTGGATTCTGTTGACATCTAAGCACTTAGAGTTCCTATATTTGGGATTCTGTGGAAAGCCCAAAGAAGCTAACAAGAAAATTGAGTGTGATTAAAGGAGAGGCAGCTGAAACCAGTAGCCATCAAGAACAGTTTTAGGAGAGAGACCTAATGTCTTTGATCTTGCCACTGCTTGATTAATGGCTGATGCAAATTCTGCTTTCAGACTCCATTTAGAGAAATCACAGGAGGTGGGCTTTATTCTTTCCGTTTGCAGATGACGACCCTGGAGCTCGCAGATGCTCAGTTCTTCCTCTAATGCCTACTTGGTAAATGACAGCCAGATTTCCAGCCCAGATCTGTCTGATTCCAAGGCCTGTGACTTTTGCCACTTAGCTGTAGCCTTCCCTACTTTGAGAGTCCTTAAGACAAGGGAGGCTCACAGGAGTTTTGAGCTGAGGGCACTAGAGATCTTAACTGATCTAATGTATAAAAATGAGTCTTCCTAGTCTTGGGAATGTAGTACAAGGGGCTTTATCTGTTTTCCCAACAGGATGCTGGCTAGTAGTCAGTGGAGATGGGAGTTCCTTCTCGAGGGGGGCTCTTCCCATGAATGTTTGCCGTTGATCTTAAAGGGTTCTGGGTTTTGCAGGTGCCTTATGCCATCTGGAACTGAAAAACTATGCTGAGGCTGTGAACTGGTGTGATGACGGGCTGCAGATAGATGCCAGAGAGAAGACGCTTCTGGAAGTGAGGGCTAAAGCAGACAAGCTAAAGGTTGGTGGCAAAATCAGCAGCCCTTTGGAATTTATTAATTCATTAATTAGCATTCTTCAGATTGTATCTTTTGGTCACTGGAAACTTTTTCTTCTTTAAAAATAAAACCCAAGGACCAGCAGTTCCAACCAAGATGTCTGAGCCCCTGGAGAGCTGCCCAGGCAGGCTGCCATCAGTCATGATGTCTGGGCCAGCAGGCCCTTGTCAGGCAGGTCCCCCGAAAGATCTAGCACACAGAGAGAGCCACCCGCATTCTTGGAGGACATGCCACAGGAAGCCTGGACCCAAGCTCTGTCTCTAGCTGTCAAAGAAACAGAAATAAGGGGAAGCAGTGCCAGCACATGAGCTGACTTTACAGATGACGGACTGAAGAGGAAGAGACAGACACACAAGCCACCTGGTCGCGAGTCAAGTGAAGAGACCAGTGATACATTAACTGACACAAAGGAAATTGGAGATCATCTTCTGGAGAGAATGGGTTCTGTCCTTGGGCAAGTGATAGCTTGGCCAAGTTCATGGAGGCTAAGTTGAAATCTCCAGACACAATAGTAGCTAAGTTACAGACTGATGTGTCTTTCATGTATTCCAGACCAATGCAGGGTATTCCAACTAGGAAGTGGTATCCAAGTCCTCCAGGTGAAACCAGCCCTCGCTGGCTGTCACCATTTCCTTTTGCTCTGTTCTGTCATGCACAGAGCAAAACTCTAAACACATGGGATGATTGGTAATTGTTCAACAAACACAACAAACTTAAATGCCTAGTAAGTAAGATGCTGCCGTATCTTTACCTCAGCTGGAAAGTGTCCTGTAGTGAGTACATCACCATTACATGCCATATACAATACCACCATGGTGATCAGTGAAAAGTCAATAAACATAACATAACACATTGGGAAAGGAAGAACTAATCCAAAAGAGGAAAGGAGGCAGGAGGCAGTGTTCTAAAGCACCAAAGGAAGAAACCAGGAATTGCTAGAGGCAGAGGGAAAAGACACGCTCTGTTGTCCGGAACTTTGAGTTCTACGTGATACCACTGGTTTTGTGGTTACTGTTGACATGGAACTACTTGATAATACCAGGGAAAGATAACAGGTAATGTGAGACAGTAGTGGAGGACATGCTAGAGGAGGAGGAAGAGGATGACAAAGATGTCAAGGACAGTGGAAAAGGGGTTTATAAATGAAATCTGTGCCATCCAGGAGTATGTATTAGTGTCCAGAACATCCTAGGTGAAGTGGCTTCCTTTGACAAAAGGATAAAGAATACTTACAGCCCTGGCTGGTGTGGCTCAGTGGATTGAGTGCTGGCCTACGACTGAAAGGTTCGATTCCCAGTTGGGCGCGTGGGGTTTTGGACCAGGTCCCCAGTGGGGGACATGTGAGAGGCAACTGATCAATGTATCTCTCACACATTGGTGTTCCTCTCCCTCTCTTTCTCCCTCCCTCTCCAAAATAAATCTTAAAAACATATACTTTCAATTTGATGGTCCCATTCTTAAGCCAGCTGGCTGGCTGTCATAGCCCTCTGTGTTCATAGTCATCCTGTATTTCATTCTACTGAGGTACATTGTCATTGGGCATCAATAAATTCAAAAAAGCTTTGGTGTCCCTATGCAGTGGATAACAGAACTACTTGATGTCCTTTCCAGAGTCCCTTCAGATACACAAGTGGTGCTATACCAAGAACTGAAACCAGGTCCTTCTTATAGCTCATGTAAAAGAAAGAAAAACAATCTTGGCTAGCCAGCACCCGTCACTGAGAAGACCAAGATCTATTTGGGAAGAGAAAACGGAAAGGCTTAAAAAAGCCTCAGCAACATTTCCTTTCTTTCTGATTTTTAATTTATTTTGCCTTTAAAAAAAGATTTTATTTTTAGAGGGGAAGGGAAGGAGAAAGATGGAGAGAAACATCAATGTGTGGTTGCTTCCCAAGTGCTCCCCCCACTGGGGACCTGGCCTGCAACCCAGGCATGTACCCCGACTGGGAATTAAACTGGTGACCCTTTGGTTTGTAGCCCGTGCTCAATCCACCGAGCCACACCAGCTAGGACTTATTTTGCCTTTTTAAAATATCATGACTGAGTATTACGATATAAATAGTATATAAGGGCACATGTCTTTGAAAATATACTTCTATCATACAGAATCAATTTGATAAAGGTTTACTTTCTACTGGGTGAAAGCCTTGTTGGGTTGGCTAAAAATATCTTTTTTTTTTCTTCTGTAAGATGGCTCTAGTAGTGGTTAGTTGTCTTTAAGTTCATTCGAAACAGTTTTATTAGATTGTATTATGACAGTTGTCATATCGGCGTGTGTTTAAAAAAATCAAAATTGGTGAGTTTCTGTGTAGCAATTTTAATATTGGAGATGGAAGAAAATATGCAACATGTTCAGCGTATGATGCTTTATTATTTTAAGAAAGGTAAAAACACACAAAAAGATTTGTACAGTGTGTGGAGAACATGTACAGATCAAACCTGTCTGTGACTGATCAAACCTGTCAAAAGTCGTTTATGAAGTTTTCGTGATGGAGATTTCTTGCTGGACAATGCTCTGCGGTGGGGTAGACCAGCTGAAGTTGGTAGCGATCAAGATGAGACATTGAGAAAATCAACATTATACTACATGGGAGATAGCTGATAAAATATCCAAATTAATAAAGTCATTGGTGAACATGAAAAACGTGTCTTATTTTACAGAAAAAACTAAATGGACTTTTTGACCAACCCAATAATGTAATGCATTAGAACAACAAATGTAAGAATGGTAGCCCTGGGGAATACACACTTCTGTAATTACAAGTGGGGGAACTATATCAGGTTAAATACTTTGAACCTACATAGCGCAGATTTTTAAACTTTGACTTTAACGTTTTTTAAAATGGGACTTTTATCTGAAAAATAATCCATGGTAGTTTTCTATGTTTTATATACTTCAAAAGGGAGGGGATAGTCCCAAAATGGGAATAATGGAAGAGGTGCATTTCAATTTAACATAAATTCTGATTTCAGATCCTGACGTTTATTCCTGAGCAAAGTATTTCTATATGACTAGGCTGATTTTAAGCTAATAAGTGAAGGTATATTACCCCTCAACAAATCTACACTCTGAAACTCTACAAAGAAAACTTCCCTACCTTCTGTCATTCCATCTAAAACTTTAAAATCTCTACAGAATTATACATACATACTGCCAGCTTTATAAATGATTACCTATCTGAATTTTTATACCTACCACTGCTTTAATTTGTGCCAAGTTAGTTAGCAAATTAGCAAAATTTCATCAAACATACTAGCAAACTAAATCTGTATTGCTTTTGGTATCAGAGTATATCTCTGTGTATATAAAAATATGTAGTATGCAAGTGTTTGCAAGGAAAAAAGTATCTGCTTTCCCATTAGGTTACTGAAATGATTTAATGCAAACTGATTTTTGTGATTAGTGTGAATTTTAATGTGAGGAGAATGCAGTGTGCTAAGTGATGTGCCAGCGTTTTATTACGTTTGATAGGGAAAAGTGATTGTTCTTGATAACACGCATGCATGAAAACCTATTTTGTAAAATAAACTGCTTACGGGGAGGGGGCGTTTGCCTTTAAAAATGTTTCCCCACCTCCTATAGAGTCCATATTTAATAACTGCATTCCCAAGACTATTGTGATAGTTCTTCTATACCTGGCTTCCTGTTCTATCAAGAGAGTCTGTCTCTGGAAGGAGAAACAATTTGGCGAGAATGTCTTACTTCCCTCTGACTTGGTGGGGGTTCAGCTTGGTTGAAATTGCTACAGCAGTGTTTTCCACTACTTTACAGCGGGCTGGCAGTGGGTGAAGGTGGGGGTTATGTTAGAAAAATGTAGGAAAGCCGAAAGCAAGGAAGACATATTTTACTCTAAAGATTCTTTACAAATTAATATTATCAAAGTTGATATTTAAAGAATTTTTATTGGAGAACTGTGTTAAGTACTGTTTCTTATGATAGAACTCTTTTGATCTGCTCATGTGCTATGGCTGAAAGAACGTCAGTAGAAAACAAGGCCGTGACCTCCCTGTGCTGTTTGGCACGTCATGTTTGTACTGTCCCTGTTTGTTGCAAAGATGTAATACTCCACGAAGTTGATGTTACTACAGAAAGTTTATTGATAGGATAATTTAAATTTTTTTATATTTTATTTTTTGAGGGAGAAAAACATTGCTTTTTTCCTTTACCCATACAGGCATTCATTGGTTGTTCCTTGTATGTTCCCTGACCAGGGATCGAACCCACTACCCTTGTGTATCAAGATGATGTTCTAACCAACTGAGCTAGCCTGCTAGGGCTGATAGGATAATTTGTTTGAAATAACTTTTGATTATATTTTCTGGGAGATTTATGTTTGCTGCAGACAGCATCCACTCAGATGTCTATTAGCTCAATATTCTAAAAGTGCAGATATACCTAGTGGTTAATAACTGTTAGCAGATGACTAAGTTCTGTTTGTTGCGTTTTATGAAATTTCAGATTTTTAGTTCAATGGTAGTATTGACTATACATTCCCTGAATTAAATATAAATAAACTAATTAAATCTCAAACCAGTCCCGACCACGGGAATACTGGAGGACACAGACAAGGAAATAAACAAGGAGATAAATAGTTACAGTGTGGTAGAGGCAAGCAAGAATACATAGCAGTAGTGGTATCTAATTTTCCCTTGGCCAAGAGCAGGGCAGAGATGGGGGTCTCTGGTCTCAGAAGTTTGCTGAAACAGGTGTTGCCTGAGTCTAATCTCTTTAAAATTGAGCAAGAGTTTACTCTGTTGGAGGTGGGGGTGGGGGAAACATTCCGAACAGGAGAAAGCAGAACTGATTAACCTTGACTAAGTTCTTGGTATTTCTGAAAGTCAGTTCCCTCTCTGAAAATAATAAACATACACCTCAAAGTTTATATATTATGAAGCATAAATGAAAATGTGTGTACATGTGTACACTCTTAGATGTTTTGGAGACATATAGTAAGGACTAGATAAGTTTGTGGCTGTTGTGGTTTGAATAAATAAGAAATGGCATAAGACTATCGTAGTCTGGGTGTAGGGGTGCTAGTGTGGGGGAACATTTGGCAAAAACAGAGGCAATTATTTAAGATCGCAGTTGCTTGAGGCAGTGGATAACAGTGTAAACGATAGGTTTACAGAACACTTGAAAAGCGGGGGAATGAAATTCTATAAGAGCTCCTAGGAATCTAGAAGGTCTCACGTGTGCTCAGGGCCATGCGTGTGCCCAGGAAAGATCTGAGGAGGCCCTACCCTCTTCTGTCTGGCTGGTTTGGAGGCTCTGTGCAAGGCAGGAAGTGAAGGTTATGGCTGAATTGTAAGTTGCTTGGGTGAGAGTTGGAGGTATGCTCCAACGTGCATACCCTGAGTCCTTAGTCAAAGGCTGGGAGACTTTGGCTTCAGGTATTTAGGGAAATCTGTCTAGGTATCAGCTGACCACTGAGCTGACCGGAGACTTCAGTGGTCACTTACAGAATTAGGCCAGAAAAGTCAATCACTAAGTGACAGCAGCAACAACAAACACCGGGGGTGGGGGGAGGGCAGAAAATTTGATTTCCAGAGTTGCCACATTACATTTAAAATACCCAGCTTTCAGCAAAAAACTACACGACATGCAAAGAAAGAAGAAAATGTAACCATAGACAGAAAAAAAATTTTTTTTCAATAGAAATTGTCCTTAAGGAAATCTGGACATGGGAATTTATAAGTCAAAGACTTTAAACCAGGTCTTTTAAGTATGTTCTAAGAATGAAAAGAAACAATGTCTAAAGGACGAAAAAGAGTATGATAATGATGTCTCACCAAATATAGACTATTTGGTGAGACTATAAAAAAGTATAAAGGAAAAACTATAAAACTATAAAAAAGAACCAACTGAAGACCAGTTCTTTAATTAAAGAACCAATGAAAAGAACTAACTGGCCTGCAAAGCCTAAAACATTTATTCTGGCCCTTTACTGATCCCTATTAATCTATAATCTTGAGGGTAAGAGCAGGATCAGATCAACTGATTTTGGATAGATTGGCAAGAAAGGGAAATCCCAGTTATGTTTCTGCCAGATTAAGTAGACTGGTGACACTTTTCTCTCATGGATTATAATTGTGCACAAGGCAGAGCCTCTGTAAAGTTCTTGTCCTGGGTTTTCCCAGCCATACCAGTGAAGCCAAAATGCCCTGTAGTGGGAGGGAAATACCCTGGCTGGGTGGCTCAGTTGGTTAGAGTATTGTCCCATAAAGTGAAAAAGTTGTGGGTTTCATTCCTGGTCAGGTACATGCCTAGGTTGCAGGTTTGGTGCCTGGTTGGGCGCATATGAGAGGCAACCGATTGATGTTTCTCTCTCATGTCGATGTTTCTCTCCCTCTTGCCTTCTCTCAAATCAATAAGCGTATCCTCAGTAAAGATAAAAGGAACGAAAGAAGTGCCCCATAGTGGTGTCCAAGCAGTGTCAGTTCTTCTACCAATAATGCCCTTTCTCCTTGTGGACTGGACTCTGCTGTGCCTAAACCCACCTCTCAAAGGGGCAGAATCAGTTACTCCTTCCTCTGTGTTTCGTAGCCCCTGGTTCACACCACTGAGGTGCCCTCGTACTTGTCTGACCCTCAGTAGACAGTGAACTCCTTGGGTACAGGAACTTCACATTTTTAAATTTCTGCTGTCACCGGTCCTGGTACCCAGGCATGTGCTTTTAAATGTTTGTTGAACTGAATTTGGCCACTGGCATCCCTTGACACAGGAGCCTGGATGGGATAGGGACGAGATGGTAATTGAGGAACAGGCTGGGGTAACAAGAGGAAGCAAATTCCCTAGAGCTGATGGATCTCAATTTCACTTTCAGCGAATTGAACAGAGAGATATGAGGAAAGCAAAGCTGAAAGAAAAGAAGGAGCAGAACACAAATAAAGTTTTACTCCAGACCATCAAGGTGAGTTCTCAAGCCGCAGGCCTTTATGGTTTTGTTAAATCCACTCATCCTGAGGCCTCCTGGGAACCTGTCTTGGGATGCTGTGCCTGAATGAATTTGTTCATTTTCTCTCTGTGTGATGAAGGGGCTCTGGAGTCAGCCTCCCTGAGTTCAGTCCCCTCTCCCAGTTGTGTACACGTGTTGGTCTCAGGTAATCTATACTGAATAGTTGCTGTGGGTTAAGCATCATTTAATTTTCACTGTAGCATTCGGAGGTAGGTTTTCTTGCCCCTGTTTTGCTAGATGATGATGAAGTCTCACAAAGGTAAAGAAATCTCACATAGCTAATACTGGTTAGAGTCAGATCCTTGACCTAAATGAATGTGTCTGATCCATACCCTGCTTTTACCTGGTGAGCCAGTCACTGGTGAGCCTTGGCTTACTTGGTCTTCACAAGGGAGACAGCACCTGCTGTGAGAGTGTGGCGTAGGCTCTTGGTTTCATTCTTGGGCAAGTTAAATTATGCTCCCATTTAAGTGACTTGTTCACTTTGAGAACGTCACACTTCTAAGATGCGCTCCACTAGTCCCTCCCCACAACAAGCAGACTGTAACCACATACTAACAGGTTAAACAAAATGTCATGCTCCCGGTTCTCCGTCATTCACAGTCAGGGATTTGGTCATTTCCTAAAGTGTAGACTGTTGGGATGCCCAGGCATTTGCACACAGACCTTATTTCGGTCTCTCCTGTAGTCTAACGGCATCTCAGAAACTTCACTGTTCAGAAGACAGCGGATACGCACAGCCATACATACTGTGTGGTTTAAAGCAGAAGTCAGCACACTGCTGCCCTGCCTGTGTGTACACGTTACCTATGGTTGTTTTCACACTACGATGCCAGAGTTGAGTAGTTAACTTCAACATGGACCATTTGACCCACAAAGCCTAAAATATTTCTTATCTGACCCAAGAAAAAGTTTGCTAACCCCTGTTAAGGAGGTACCATCAAAGGCAATTTTGATTGCATGTAATTTTCTTCTCATTTGTTAGCCTTTGGAATCACCATACACAAACATAAGAGGTCACTCTACTGTTCAGACTTTAGATTTATCCTTATTTTCATGAGATGGTCAAGATTAAGCCATTGTGCATTTTCTCAGTATTCTATGTCCTAGCTAAACTGAAGCATTGCCATTTTTGTACATGTCACACTCTTGGTCTCTTCTGTGCCTGGCTACATGCTGTTCCTTGGGGTGGCGTGCCCTTCCACCTTCCCCCTCGCCTATGCCTCCACCTTTCAAAGTCTTTGTTTAAGGCCTAGCATTCCCTGGTCACCTCCAGCCCTGAGGCCAAACTAATTATTCATGGTCTGCAGTCCCACAGCCTTACTTCTTACTGTGTATTGTATTCATTTCCAGAGGTCTCTCCCCACTAGACCATGAGCAAGGTCTTGAGGGCGAGAACCATGTCTAGCTGGCTCTGTTGTGGTAGATGTCTGCGGAAGTTGAGTCAAACACGTGATGCCTGCTGTGTGCCAGGCTTCAGGGATGATGAAGGTGAATCAGGGAGCTGTCAGTGTTGTGGTTTCCCTGGTCAGGTGAAATGGGCTCACATCCTTCCACACATAAGGTTTCTTTGTGTTTCTGTCGTTACTCCAGGCCAGGAACGTCAAGATAGTCTCTGAAGCTGCCGCCGAGGAGGACGAGGAGGAAGATTCCGCCTCAGCTGGTCTTTGTAAACTCCTGAACGGGCTCAGCTTTCAGAACTCCTACGGAGCCAGGCCGAGTGTGGACGACCAGGGCAGACTGAGCTGGCCTGTGCTCTTTCTGTACCCGGAGTACGCCCAGTCGGACTTCATCTCTGCTTTTCACGAGGACTCCAGGTACTTACTCGCCCCAGAACCTCTGTCTTGCTGGCATGCTCTCTTCCTGCTGTGTCTGCAGGAGGGAAGAGAATAGTGTCGAGGGTTTCGGTCTGATTTGCATAATCTCTCTCCTGTCCCTCATTTCTCCCTTGGCTACCTAGCTCTGCAGTGGCAGACACAGTCCCCCCATTGTATGACGGGGCTAATACAGTGTTTGTACACATCTGGTGAGATGGGAAATCATTGTAGGTAGTACACACATAATAATTTAGGTGTATATTTATTAGAAAAAAATATAGCTAGCAGTTTTAACGTGATTTCCTAGGGTTAATGCTTAGAATGTGGCTAAATGTGAGGAATGTTGTTAAGCTTGAGTCAGGCTTAAATTTAAAGAAAATTACTATGTCATAATAGGACAGGTGATACATGTTTTGGGTACTGTTGTGAAAATGACTTTTCATGTTTTTTTTAATACATTCTTGATATCTCTGATTTGGTCTCTGGAGACTGTGATGTGGGAAAGTAGATCATGAGTTATTGATACCAAGAAAGTACATGTGTTACATCCTTAGGTTTATTGATCATCTAGTGGAGATGTTTGATGAACTGCCCCCTTGGGACTTAGAGCAGAAATACTATGCTGGCAACTTAGAGGTAAGAGAAGTTGTATTTTGTTCCTGTATGGGATTTTTTGAGGAATGTGGGGCTTTTATTGCTTTTTTAAAAGACTGTAAATGTTTTTTGTAATTTGTGATACATAAAATGGTAAATTATATGTTCTGTACATTTACCATAAAAATAGCATTTTTAGTTTTTTAATTATAGTTTTGAAACTATAGTTATGTTAGTTATGTAATTGTTAATCATTATAGTTCAGTAGCATTGAGTATATTTGCGTTACTTGGAACCATCACCACCATCCCTGTCCATTTTCATCACCCCAAACTGAAAGCGTCCCCACTCAGTAACAACTCCCTATCTCCCCTACCCACAGCCCCTCGAAAGCACCATCTGACTTTCTGTCTCTGTTAACCTGACTACTTTAGGTACTTCACACAAGTGGAGTCATACAGTATTTGTCTTTGGGACCGGCTTATTTCACTGAGCATAATGTCCTCAGGGTTCATCCATGTCGTAGCAGGTGTCAGAGTTTCCTTTCTAAGGCGGGCTAATCCCGTTGCTGGGATTAACGAAATAATCACAAACTACAATACGAAGACTTTATCTTCTAACCATTTCAGAGTGAGATGCCAGCTGCTCCCCCATTTCCGTGAACACTCCAGTTTCTGTTCCCCAAAACAAGGACATTTTCCTTCATCATCCCAATCAGCCATCAAAATTAGGAGGTTGACTTCAATGTACTAGTGTGGTGATTTCAGCCACTGTACCGCAAGAATTTTTAAAACATACAATCCCTGGCTGTTTAGTCAGGGCCACTGATCTCTTTTCCCTTAGATGGTCAAATAAAAAAAATGACAACAGCCAACACAACAATAGTCATCAAGTGTGAATGAATCAAATTATATCTGTTTCTTTGTCAGATCAGGTGTGTATGTGCGTGTATGTGCGCACACCACAGGATTTTAGTAATTAGTTTGTGTGTGCCATGAGGTTACAAGGTTGAAGATCACTGCGCTAGCACCATCGAATCCTTTGACTTTGTTCAGTGTTTGCAGATTGTCTCAGTGGTGTTCTTCACAGTGAACAAACCGGTTCAGAATCCCACACTGATCTGTACTTAGTGGTCACGACCCTTTAGTCTCCTTCAGGCCGTTGCGGAGTTTCTCAGTCTTTCCTTGATTTCGGTGGACTTACTGCTTTCGAAGGTCATGGATCGGGTGTTTTGTGTAGAGTCCATCAGTGTGGGTTTGTCTGTCTTTCTCCTGACCAGATGCCCATCTGACTGGGAAATCTCACAGGTGACACTGTGTCTGGTTGCACGCTCTCAGTTGCTCCTGATTTGGGTGTGTCCCGTCACTGCATTCGCTTTGATCACCCGGTCGAAGTGGGGCTCTGACAGTCTTTGCCACTGGAAAGTAAACCTTTCTTCCTATGTAATTAGTAATTTATAGGGAGGTACTGTGAAATGATGTACATATCCTATTTGTCAAACCTTCAACATAATTTTATATCAGTGAATTTCTGGTTTCCTATTTTATTAATTGAATTATAATCTATTACTATGATTGGGTTATGCTCAGGTTATCTCAGATTTGGCCAGTGGGAATCCCTTCAAATTTGTTTTTGTGTCCTTTTGACTTGTTTCCATTTTTTAAGCGTTTCCTTGCTTTCTGGCTTGAGGTGTTCTAGGCTCAAATTGTGCTTTTTCTTGTTTTACTTCTGGAATCAACCACTTTTTCCCAAGGAACCCTGATTGTTTTAATGGAAAAGTGTGTTTGGAAGCCAGGATCTGTTAAATGGGGTGGGTGGGTGGGTGGGTGGGTGTGTGTGTGTGTGTGAGAGAGAGAGAGAGAGAGAGAGAGAGAGGGAGGGAGGGAGGGAGGGAGAGAGAGAGAATGTAAGGTCTCACAGGGCTCTCCAGTTCTAATCCAGCACCACAGGATCTTCTTCCTTTCTGTGTTTGTAATAGTGGCTTCTGTTACTCTTCATATATTTACTCATTTGGTCAGTCCCCCTCCTGTCACCCCATTGTCCCCTCTCCCACCCTACTTGGGCTTTGGACTCTTGCAGCAGGCGGCTGCCCCAGCGTAGGTGGCCTCTTTAATCTGCACACACACTGTCCAACCACTCTACATGAACGTCCCCCTTATCCTGCTGAGGTTCTTACCCTGGTTGGGCCCTGATACCCTGTTCTTAACAGCCATCCTACAAGGACACCCTTCTCAGCCTTAGGCTGGCCAGCCCCCAGCAAGGATCCCCTCCTCAACTGGCTAGGCTCTGTGGACACCCCTTATGTTCTGCAGCCGCCCTATGCAGATGTCTTGCTCACCCTGCTTGGGCTTTGACTACCTGCACAGGGCTGTTCCCTGTGTGGCCACCCTTTAACCCCTGCTCTGTGCTATCCTGGCCTTCCTGCACATCTAATGGCTCTAGGACTGAATTATTAGGGAAGGGAAGGCTCATAGTCCTGGGCTTGAGTCTTGACTTCTTTGTTTACAGGCTGGGTTCATTGCTGCATTATTTCCCTTCTCTGAGCCTTGGTTCTGTCTTTGGAAAATGAGGCCCTACAATACCTTTACATTTTTTTTTAACTTTTAAAAAGATTATTTAGAGAGAGGGGAAAGTGGGAAGAAAGAGGGAGAGAAACATCAGTGTGAGACGTAATCATCCATCGATTGCCTCTTGCATGTACTCCAACCAGGGACTGAACCCGCAACCCAGGCACGTGCCCTGACTGGGAATTGAACCAGTGACCTTTTGCTTTGCAAGATGATGCCCAGTTAACTGAGCCACAGCAGTCAGGGCCAATAATACCTTTATCAGTATCCTGGGGAAAGACTGAGTGCTTTATATTCCACAGCTCTGTACAGGAGGCATTCAGCTAATAACAGTCACCATCTCTGTACCTTTTTCCTGGACTTGGCCTCAACATGCCTGGTGTATCTGACTGCTGCTCCTCTGTTAACCTTGCAGGTCTACTTTGAGGATGAAGAGAGGGAAGAGCTGTACCAGGTGCCTCCCAAGACTACCCTTCGGCAGGTGCTGCAGCACCCCCGGTGAGTCGCTTCATGGGGCAGAGCAATAGATGTAAATAGATGTGAAGCGTGGGGCTTCACATAGAGGGACTGACACCCCCCGGGCTAAGGCTGCACCTCACAAATGCTTCTACACTTGCGCCTTGCTGTGGTGAATGGATGACTTATCTCCCTCCCTCCAGGACTTGAGAGCCGAGGCAGTGGTTTTTGTTCGCTTTTTAAACTGTTTTCAGCACAGCCTGGCTTACCCTGGGTATTCACTATTGAGTGAAGGAGTGAAGCATGTTCCAACAGTTTCGTGTCGTGTTTAGCCACAGGCACTCAGTGCTAGAGGGCCGGCCCAGAGATTCCGAGGGGGCAAGGCCATGCTCATTTGCCACATTTGTAAGCTGCTCTACAGATATGCTAAACTCGCATTTTAATGTTGACTTATGTCCAAGCTTTGGGAAGGCCACGTATGATTAAGATTGCAGTTCAATTAACCCCTCTCTCTTGTTGTGTTGACTACAGGTGCTTTGTGAAAGACCTGACACCATCCTTTTTGATCTGTGCGGAATCCTCTCTCTTCTCTAAACGTTATTTCCGGGCGAGAAACGTGCAGTAGGTAGAGGGATGGAGCCAGGCTGCGGACACGTTCCCCCTGGACCTCCTCCCTGACCCTCCTGTTCCTGGAGTGTAGCCTTCCTGAATCAGCAGGATGTGCCCCTAGAATCCAGCACTTTTTTTTTCATCCCAGCAATAGCCCTTCCTCAAATCATAGTTAGGGAGGAGCTGCTGACTTCCCCGAACAGCAGCTTCTCTGGTCCAAGTGCTGAGCCTCAGCTGGTCCTCACTCCTCTGTTGACACAAAACTCTGTGCCTTGGTCATGACGTCCTTGGACTCACTGTGAGCTGCGTTAACTAGCCTCCATCTCTGAAGGGACCATCTGTGAGTTACCACGGCAACTCACCCAAGGAACTCCCTGGACTGAGTCAGGATCCAGTGACCTAAGTTCACATTCTGAACCTTTGTCGGGTAGAGGCTTTAGAGAAGCTACCCTTCAAACTGCATGTGCACACAAACCACGCATGTAATTTTAAGGCATTAGAATGCTGGGACTATGGCCTCCAGTTATTTCCTGAGCAGGGAGGTTGTTCTGTGGAAATAACGTAGATGCCTCAGGGTGAGATGGGGCCAGGAACAGCGGGTCCTGTTCCTGTATCTGTACTCACCTACAATCTGGAACCCCTGAAAGGTTTGCCAGTTTTCCCAGTCTTTGCAACGTGGAGGGCAGTGATGCACTTGGACACTGGACCGCATTCTTCCCTGGTTTTCACACTTCAGGGTTTTGTGCCTTTTATGCTGGAAAATCTTTTTGCATGTTGAATCATTGTTATAGGTTGTACCTAGAGGGTTTTATATGTGCTTAGCTGTAGCCATGTGACTTCCTGCCGTGTCCACCCCATCCCCTGGGGAGCAGTGCACTCGCCTGCAGAGCCATGGTGTGGAATGTTCATGTTCTTTCCTCTCTGCCATGAGAACACACCTCCCAGACTGGGGCTGCTCCTTCAGCCTGGGTGCCAGCGTGCGAAGACATGCGAAACAGAGCTACAGCAGCCACCCTTCAGCCACTGATTGTAACTTGAGTGAGAAATAAATGTTTGTTGTTGTAATAGCACTGAGACTTGGGGGTTGTTTGTTACTACAGCAAAGCTAATACATCATTAAACTGAAACCAGCTGCTGTCCTTGAGATGGACCGATGTGGGGTTTTGTGCTGTGTGCTTCCTTGCCTTTGAAGGGCAATTTGCTGTGGAAAATTTACAAAGAACCATGCAGCTCGTGGCCAGGAGGCTGGAGTTCAGCCTCTGTCCTAAGCCTGGCTGAAGCCATACTGAGGCCTTTCTCCCTCACTTCCCAGCTAGAGACTGCTGCTTGGTTCTGTCTGCGGGAACTCAGCGCTTGGTGACATTCAGTTAGCCACACCCTAGCAGGCCTTGCAGGGTTCCCTGTAGCAGGTGCTCCAGCCACCTCAGGTGCTTTGCAGAAAGCAGGTTCCAGTGTGCCTCCCTGCCCCCTCCCAGGGGCCCTGTGAGGCTAAGTTGATACGACAGATGAGAGAGCAGGTTGTACATTCAAAACCATGCACCTGACAAGGGTCGTTATGTGACCTTCATCCCCATCACCTACCCCTTTCATAAGGCTCCTGGCAGGCCAGGTCAGTAACTTCTGCTCTTCTTGTCGGTTCCTGCTCTTCCCTCCAGGGAGGGGAGGGGGCAGACGTGGAAAAGAGAGAAGAGAAACTTAGAATGGCAAAGTGTTAGACCAGGGGTAGAATGGCAAAGTGTTAGATCAGGGGTAGGAGCCTAGTGGCTGTCAACTAGCTGTGACTTGAAGGGACTGCTAGGAGCCTGCTTCATCTGTAAAATGTTTCCCTGTCCCCTCACAAGTGTGTCTGTGGCACTTATGTGAAGGCAAAGTGCTTAGTCAATCTCCTGGCATGTGATGACTCAATAACTGGCTCTTAAGCTACCTATACCCAGGTGCGCGTCTGTGCAGACTGGTAACCCCAGGCCAGTGGTTCTCAGTCAGGGTCATTGCACTGAGAGGACCTTTGCCAGTGTCTAGAGACATTTTTGATCATCACAATTTGGTGGGATGGTACTGGGATCCAGTGAACAGCCAGGGATCCTGCTGAACATTCTGTAGTGCACAGGACAGCGCCCCCCCCGCCCCACCCAGTCCTGCCCAAACTGTCTACGGTTTTGGGAAGTGCTGTGCTGCACCTTCCCGAAGGCCAGCTGTCAGTGCACAGGGGCCAGATGGGGATTTGTCTGAGTGCCCAGGCCGGACACAGCAAGAGCTCAGTGAGTGTGCTGATGGATAAATGGATGAATGAAAAAGATACAGCAAGTCCTGTTCCGAGGCCCCATGTGTGCACACACTAGCATCAGTGGCATCTTAAGCTCAAGCCGTGTGGCATCTTAACATCTCCAGCAATGCTCCTCGCCTTTCTCGCCCATGGGCTCTGCCATTCTCTGGTCTCCAGGAGAGTGGACCAGGCAGGTTTAGGAGCAGGCCCGCGGAGCAGGGGTCTCTGCAAGGCCGCACAAGACTGGCACATGTACACCCCACCCCCAGACCCCACAGGTCAGGGTCAGGGCTTTCAGGGTGGGAGTGGAAGCAGACGCTTCCAGCTGGGCATGTGGGCTGGGCCCTCATCTGGAACCACCTTGGTCTCCTGCTTGCTCATGCCTGGGACACTAGCAGAGCTGAGTCAGAGCTCCTGCAAGGACTCAACCTTCTTCCACCTCATTTTACAGATGACACTGAAGTCCAGAGAGGAGAAGGAGGAGCAAGGGCAAGGCACCAGCATCCTTAGCATCCATGATGTGAGGCAGAGCTTTTTCACCCCTGAACACAGGACAGATATGGGCCCTGACATTGAGCAGGGTGTTGGAGTGATGGGGCGAAGTGGGAGGCCTTTAAGCAAAGGCAAAAAGTCTTGAAAAGGCATATTCTAGGGGTGGCACATATGCTGGTCTGGCCTAGCAGTAACAGCTGCCATCTGTGGAACACTTCGGACGTGCCAGTCCTGTTCCAGGTGCTTTACGTGGACTGGCTCACAAGCTTCCCAACCCCCCAGGGGGCGAGCAGCTGTACAGCACCATTTTACTGGCGAAAAAAGTGGCGCAGAGTGTAGGCGGCTCATCCAAAGTCAGCTTGCTACTGAGAAGTTCAGCCAGAACTTGAATTCAGGACTCCCCTAAACCCTTCAGGAGAGACCAATAACAAGACTGGCCCCTGCGTTTGAGGAGCTGGCAGTCGATCCGGTGGCCCTTGCCTACTCACTCTAAGGTTATGGTAAAGTCATGCATTCAGCCATGCAATGTCCCCAACTTGTCTGCCTGGGTACAAGAATCCAGTCTGAAGAGACCCTACCAGAGCCTACAGCTGAACCCCACAGCACCCAACACCCTACCGGTGGGGCTCCCGTCAGGCCATGAGCTTTCTAGGTGAGGCTGGTCAGTAAGCTCTACCCTTGCAGGGGGAGCATCCTCAGTCAGCATTCACCGGTACGTGCCTCCTGCTCACGCTCTTGGCCCTACAGTTTTAATTAGCCAAGGGCAATTAAGCCCTTTCACCATGGATGCTCATAGCAGCTTTTAGAGCTGCTGGTTTAACAGGAGTGGCCGGCGTGCCTGCACTAAAGTGGTGGCTGAATGTGCTGGTGACCTACTGTATGCAAAGGGATGTCTAACAAGGGCAGCTGCCCCCTACCAAGCGCCTGCTATGAGCTAGGTACTGTTGTCCCCCTTTTACTGACCAGGAAGGGCTGGGAGTATGAGGAAGGTCATACTTGCACAAGGTCACATGGCTATCAGGCACCAGGAAGTGTGACTTGAGTCTCTGGTCTGGGTCACTAATATACAAGCCATTACTTTCAATTAAATGAAGAACGTTGATTTTTTAAAAATGTTCCCTAAGTTTGCAATAACATCATAATTTTTCTCCATTTTCCACATTATAAAAAGCTATCCGCAATTAGAAAAATTTTCCCTCACTATAAGCAAAGCTTTCTATGCCCTTAGATGTGTAAGAATCCATTCTAAAAAGGGTTCTGCTGCCTTGGTGTGGGCATAGAGGGTGGGGCCTCTGCAAAGAGGCCCGGCACACAGGTAGTTAAGGAAATGACAATTTCTACAAATTTCTGCAAGCTCCTTTATGGATAGCCCAGCAGGTGTTTCTTCCATTAAAACACAGAATATTAATGGAGCCCTTGATTTGCATCCTAAGCTTGATTTATGTGATGGTTTTGTTATGCATCAGCCTTTGTCCCCAAGTATTAATTCTGCTAAATATTTCCCAGCAAGTTGCTTCTAGATCTCCCCAAGGAATAAGCAATGATAATACAGCTTGTACCTGTTATTTTGCAAGCATTTCCATTTCATCAATTTATGGCAAGTGGTGACACTGGCAAGCTTAGGAAGGAGAAAGATACATAATGTGAATATTTCCATCTTTTCCTCTAAGGAGATGGAGCCATTCTGCAGGCGTTACTTAGTTCTTGTTGGGGCATTCCCGGGAAGGATATAAAACATCACGAGAAAACAAGATCCCGGTCTGGAGATAAAGTTAACAGCAGCCCTAAGCCCCGTTAGGGGCGTTCCCTAGACCATCAGGTATTCGGGAAGTGTTTCATGGGGGCATCTGACAGACAAGAATCTGAAATACACAAGGGGCAAGTAATTTGTCTAAGGTCCTAGAGGTGAATCTAGGGCTGTCTCTCCTGATCTTTCAACCAAATGATACTGCCCCTGGCTACGAGAGGCATAACCCAGTCCTGGGTTACTGACATACTTACTGACATAACCCAGTAACCAGGACACCTCAGTTTCAGTTCAACTTGACTTTAGGCAAACCACTGCACTCCCTGTGTTTGTCTGCCTTGCAAAGTACCTGTTTCATTTCATACTTACGAGGCTTTTGAGGCTCAAAAGCTGATCGAGCCTACCCTCTCTTAATATGACACGGTAACTGGAAGCAGCCTGCTTTAGGGGATGTGGCACCTGGCCTACCACCACACCTTTGCCGGTCAGACAGTGTGTGGCCAGTGAGTTCCCACTGCAGGCCCATTTCCCATCTGTGCAGTGAAGGCTGGACAGGCAGACCCCAAGTGCTCCTCCCGCTCTGAAGCTCCATGTTCTGCATCACCCTCAAATCGTTCTGTAATTCATGCATTCGTGAGTTAAAAATTAATTGGTTTTTTAAAGGTGTTAGCCTTCCATATATATGATTATAGAGCACAAATTTAAATATATATGCACCCATTTGCATGAATTCTAATTTCTCACCTATTTTAGGCAAATTTGATTAGATGGACATAAATCATTGTTTTATATTTTTTCAAGATTTTTTTTTAGAGAGGGGGGAAGGAGGGAGAAAGAAAAAGAAACATCAATGTGTAGTTGCCTCTCACATGCCCCCTCCTGGGGGCCTGGCCTGCAACCCAGGCATGTGCCCTGACTGGGAATCAAACCAGTGTTGCTTTGTTTCACAGGCCAGCACTCAGTCCACTGAGCCACTCCAGCCAGGGCCAGTTTTATTTTCTGAAATCACTTTTGTGCAGGCAGAGGCCATGCAGTGTGGTGGGGAGGGCAGAGGTTTGGGTCAATACTTGGATTCTAGCTCCGATACACAAGAGCTGTGCATCCTTGAGTAAGTTGCTTAAACTTCAGCTTTGCTCATTGGTAAATTGAGAGTAAAAGCACCTCCCCCGCACATTTCCAAGATCTGAAAGCAGTGTATAAAGGGGTCTCACAGCAGTGACACATGGCAAGCCCCCGACAAATAAATGACCAGACCACTATAAGCAGAGCTCACATCAGCCCGATAACGTACAACCTACACTACTCAAAAGACACGCTCAGCTACAAAGTAGGCTCAGAGAAGGCAGCTACCTGCACACAAGGCACTCTCAGTGGACCTCACACGTTAGAATCATCCAGGAGCTTGGACACCTGGCCACACCCTGTCCATAAACAGAACCTTGCTCTGGGTGGGACCCAGGTGGTTCCAATGTACAGCCGAGGGTAAGCTGCTGTGCCTCACAATCCGGCCTCTCTAGGTTTGCTGTCAGAATCCACATCTCCTGGCCTGAATGCTGGGCCTGAGCCCCTGTGGTAGGGGCTTGGCATGTGCAGTCATTAGGAAACCTGATGGGTGTTTGGGGCAGGGTTACTCTAGTGATAAGCTGCTGGGAAGCTTGGGGCAGGTGGAACAACTGGCCAAGACAAGAACTGTGGTGCAGTTCTTGGAATCTGTCTAGGATCCTGGCCTCGGGGAGTTGACCATCAACTACCAGAGGCTGGCCCACCAGACAAGGAGCTGTGTGGCCCCGAACAAGAAAGAATGGCATCTGGGCTCAACAGGAGAGTGTGGGGCGGCCAGACGGAAAAACACTTCCAGGAGCTGTCAGGGGCCTTTTTAGGGGATGGTGCCTTTGAGTTTGCCCTTGTTAGATTTGGATGAGACCCTAATATGGTGAGTGGGAGCAACAGAAGCAGGTGGCACTGCGGGAGTGGCTTTAGTCTGCTCCTAGTTTTCCACACATTTCAGGCAGAGACCTTAATATTCACCCCTGCCATGGCTCTAGAATTCCACTCTGCACTGAGGCCAAGGTCAATGTGGCACTCAAAGCCTGCTACCCCTGGTATGTGTGGGAATCAACAGTTTAAAACTGAGTTTTCCAGACACCCATTTTTTTCCCTTTTGGAATGAAGAGTAGAAATGGTAGAAAGATTCTCAAGACAAGCTACCACTACAATATTAAGGTGGCAGATGTCGCCACTGTTTCAGATGAGCATGCGAGGCTCATCCCAACAGTCCACCTTTATTCAGCCGACACAGCCTGACCTCAGCGCACAGCCACCTCCGCAGAGCCGGATCTGGTGGGCTGTCAGCTCATCACATGAATTTTCTGTGTAGCTTTGGCTATGGAGCATCAGAGGACCCAGGTGTGTCTATCACGAACCTCTTGTGGAACCAGCCAGTGACAGACAACCGTTAAGGACTTCATAGATCCAGGTCCATATTTTTTGTTGCAGATGGGAAAACTGAGGCCCCAGTAGGGAAGAGGACACGTTCAAGTGGCAGAAGGCCGTATGCAGCATGGTCTATAGTCAGAACATGGAGCCACGAGGGCCTGGGCCGTCAGCCACTCCAGCCCTACACCAGGGAAACTCAGCTGAGACAAAGGAGGTGATCGCCTCAGGGACACGACGAGAAGTCTGCTCTTTCTTGCCTCCTAACTGAGGCTTCCACAGTGAGATATAAAAAAATGGTATGTGGCAGCATGGTCAGTCCAGAGAGGGGGACCAAGTGAATGACTTTAAATATAAACAGTGTGAATAAATGACGAGATAAAAATCGGTTTTCCTGACATGTGCTCACCTTCCATGAGCCCTGTTTCTGGAGGGACCTGCCCCAGAAAGAAGCACAGGAAAGGCCGCATCTGAATGAACTCCACGCCGTGCAGTGAGCGGGGCTGGGGGCACTCAGACGACCTGCACTTGGCTCAGTAACGCCACAACTGCTTCTCTGGTGAGGAAGACCACCTCACTGGTGTTCTGGCACCAAACCTCAAAATGGGCAGGGTCCTCCAGGGCCCTCTTGCCAGCGATGATCACAAAGGGGTAGCCAAACTTGTTGGCATCTTTCAGTCTGTTTCCAATGGTCAGATGGGTCCTGTCGTCCAGCAGGACCTCCCCACGAAGCTGCGGCACCGCCTCTGTGATGTGGTCGTACAGGTGCCCTGTGAGCTCCGTGGCTGCCTCCTCTTTACTACCCTTCTTTGGGGGGAGGAGGCAGACTTGGTAAGGAGCCAGGAGGCCAGGCCAGCGAACACAGTCTTCTGTCGAGAGAACCTCAATGGCAGCAGCCAAGATTCGTGTCACACCCAGCCCGTAACACCCCATCTCAGCCAAGGCAGGTTTGCCATGGATGTTAATAAACTGGGCATTGAAAATGGAGGAGTACTTGGTGCCCAGGTAAAACGTGTGCCCCACCTCGATGCCTTTGGTGTCGGTCAGTGGTCCCTGGCAAGCAGGGCAGTTCATTTGAGACGAGTCCAGTGTCTCCATGTTGGCCGAGAAGCTGCAGCGGGGACAGACTGCAAACCGGTCCTCTCCGATAGCCACTGGCAGCTGGAACTCATGAGACATCGTGCCCCCAATGCTGCCCACATCTGCCTGGACCTTGACACAATGCAGCCCCAGCCTGTCAAACAGGCTGCTGTAGGCATCACATACCAGGCTGTAGGTCTGCCGGGCGGCCTCTGGGGAGGCGTCGAAGGTGTACATGTCCTTCATGTAAAACTCTCGGCCACGGAGAAGACCAAAGCGGGGCCTAGGCTCATCCCGAAACTTCCTTGTCACCTGGTACAGCAGGAACGGGAGCTGCTTGTAGGACAGTGTCTTGTGGGAGGCAACCAGGGCTGTAATGGCTTCCTCGTGAGTTGGTCCTAGGCAGTATTCCTTGCCGTGTCTGTCTCTAAGTCTTAGTAGCTCCTTGCCCATCAAGTCCCATCGATTGGTGGCCCGCCAGAGCTCTGCTGGGCTGAGGCTGGGCATGTTGACCTTCTGCCCGCCGATGGCCTGCATCTCCTGGTCTATCACCCTCACCAGCTTTTCCATGGCACGAACGGTGTAAGGCAGGAGGTGGTAACAACCAGAGCTTGCTGGGTGGATCAGGCCCACCTGCAGCATCAGCCGCTGGCTCTTACAGGTCAAGTCACCAGATCTGCCCTCCAGCGAGAGCACCTGGTCTTCCCGAAGGTTCTGGGGCTGGAACATGTGGGACAGCACCAAGCGCTTTCCTCTCCCTGGGGCACAGTGAAACCTGTGGGGAATGTACCCAGAGAGCTGGTGGGTGCAGGTGGCCAGGGCGGGCAGTGCTCTGCATCTCGTCAGCAGCCCTTCCATGACACCTGGCACAGGGCAGCACTTGTGCCTGGAGAAAAACGGGTTGTGCAGAAATAAGCGTTAACTCAGACTGTCTGACACCATGAAATGGCCAGCTCAGTCTGGCCTCCACCAAACTTCTAAGACGGCCACTGATTCTGCAGATGCAAATTCTTTCATTTCTAACATCTTCGCAGGTCCAAGCACTACTTTCCTTACTGCCATGTAAAAAAAAAAAAACCCCACCATTTTCCCACTTACAAAAATGTAACTGTACACTGTGGAGACACGAACCGGCGGCAATGCACAGGCACTGACACCAGGTAGCCTGTGTGCGGGGGGCTTTCTGCCAACAGCGCCCCATGTAGCCCGGGAACGTGACTTAACCCTCTGTGCTCAGTTTATCTGTAAAATGGTAATAATGTAGTGCCTACCTTATAGATAGGGAATTTAGAGGAGTTATGAAAGTTATTAGAACAGTATATGGTACTGTGAGTTCAATCGATGTTTGCTATTATTATTATTATTATTGAAAACTAGTGGGAAAAAGAAACAAATAAAAAAGAAAAGAAAAGCAACTATAATCCCTGGGTTCAAAGACAACCACAGCTGGTGATCCCTTACCTTCTTGTCAGCCCTGCCCCTTGCCCACCCTTCTTAAATGTCAGATGGCTTGTGCTCTGCCCTCCCACATACGCATGGTCAGGCCTCATGCTGATGGCTCCAAGTCAACATTTCCACCTCCTATATGTCTCTTGAGCTTCAGATGTACTCATCCAAATGTCTCCTGCAGAACACATTGCACTTCAAACTCAGCACCTTTCCCCCAAACCTACCAGCCTCCAGTGCAGCGTATCCCTCTGAATAGCACCACAAGCCACCATGTACCCAAACCAGAAACCTGGGTTCCATCCACTCCATCCCCCATGTGCCACATACACCAACCCTCTGGGCCCTGCCATTCCTTCTTCACCTGCTGTTCAGTCTACCCCATCTCTCCACCTCCACAGCCTCCACCCAGGTCCAGGCCACCATCATCTCACCTGCTTAGTGCAACGGCCTCCTCATTGGGCTCCCAGCTTTCACCCCCTCCTTCTCTAATCCACTCTCCATGCTGCAGCCATAGGGGACACTACCAAAACACCTAACAGTTTTTCTTGCTTAAAGTCCTCCAGTGGCTTCCTGATACCCTTAGAATCGGGTCTGGCTTCAGACCTGCACGGCGCCATGGCCCCATGTGAGCTGGCTGCTGCTCCTCTGGCCGTATCTCAAAATCGCCCTCTCCGTGTTCCTGCTGCACCATGCTCACTCTAAACACACTGCCCCCCTTGCATACCAACACCTACCCATCCTCCAGGCCTCGGGAGTACCATCCTGTCCTCTAGGATGGATGGTACTACCCCTGCATTCCAAAGACCAGCTTCTCCTGCAGCAGCCCACTCACACGTACCAAACGCCAGTCACTCTTTGGAGATACAGGGGTACCTCAATACTTGTCACTTTCAGAACTTGTCAAACCTGGTACCCATCGCATTTTGACAAGAAAAAATGTTTCTGCAGTCAGTGCTTGCTCGCCACTCACTGCACTTGTTAGAACTTGTATGAGTCATGTTGCCACCCCGCAGGAGAAAATGCTTCATCAGTCACTGCTTGCTTGCCACTCCTCAGGACGAATTAACGATGAGTACTGAGGCATCACTATACTGCTCAATGAGTGGTCTGTGCTCCCTCAGGCACTCTGCTCTGTGCAGGCAAAGACCACATCTAACTTGCTCTTCACTCAGCATGCAGCAGGGGCTCACCAGACATCATCTGATGGATGAGCATGTAGATTTCTCTATGATTTTACCAAATAGTCACACATTTCTAATGACAGTACATTTCATTGATCGACTACATTAAGAATGATTCTCCTACTACCAGAGAGTTGTTGGTTTTCTCTTTTATAGAAAATATACAACAAAGAGAAAGTTTTAATTTTGTTTTATATTTGGAAGAGGAATTTCAGGAATGAAATTACTGAGTCAAAGGGTCTAAACTTCCAAGGTTCTTGATTTATATTGTCAAACTTAGTGAGCCCCTCTGATTTTCAGCATATCTCATGGAGCAAAGCTCCCCTGCAGGGTTACCGATCCCCTTCAGCACTGGGAAGCTGGAATTCCCATGTGGTTACTTCCAGCTTTCAGCCTCAAGTCCTCCAGTTGGTCCTCTCCAGTCTCAGGCAGCATCATCCCTTGCCCCTGCACACTGTACAGACATTATCATTTTCTGTGTGGTCTACAACCTGAGAAAGGTTGGGAGGCAATGCTACAGAGTCCTAGTGTGACTGCATGGAGTATGGGTCTGGGAAGCAAGGAACATGTGGTTCACACCTGACTCCACTTGAGGCTCCGCCTCAGGCCAGTGGCCCAAGACAGAAATACCTTCACCCTTGGCTCCTCCTAAATGAGTCTATTTGCAAGATTTCTCTCAAGTCCATCCCCTTCTTCCCTTCTGACCCTTACTGCCTCGGCCTTAGGTTAACTAGACCAGTGGTTCTGAAACTTAAGTGAACATCAGAATCACCTGGAGGGCTTGTTAAACACTGACAGTGGGGCCTCACGCCCACAGTTTCTGATTTAATAGGTCTGGGATGTGGGAAGAGAATCTGTAGTTCTAGCAAGTTCCCAGGTGATGCTGTTGCTGCTGGTCCAGGGACCACATTGGGAGAACCACTGCAAAAGCCTACTGGCTGTCACTGGCTGGTGACACGGTCAAATGACTACACTTTCCGGACCTGTTTTCTCATAGGTAAATGGGAAGATCGAATCCCCGAGGGTCTCTCCAGGGCTCACATTTCTAAGAACACCGTGACACGAAACCACCTGAGGTAGACATGGAGGAAGTCCTGGCCTCAACTTTCCAGGGAGGAAACTGAGACCGGGAGACAAGTATTATCCAAAACTTTGTATGACTGTGACTCTGTCCCAACCCAAAGACGGGATGCACGTGGGAAAACGGACACCAGGATCCTAGGTGTCCGCGCCCAGTGCCCTCTCTTCACTCTGTCGCCCGCCCCTCCATTCACCACCGTCAGTTCCCCGATCTTCACTGTCACCCACGCTCACCAATTGCAGCACCAGCCGAAGACTCTGGTTAAGACCGCCGAGCCAGCACGCCTGCGCGGACAGCAAGCGGTGGGTGGGGCGTGCCCTCCCAGGTTCCACCTCCCGCCTTTGTAGCCAATCAGAAGCCGGTTTGGGGGACTAGCCCCATTCAACTCGTAGACATGTGCGAGGTGTTCCGGAAGCTCAGCCAAAGAGCGAGAACTCGGCTCTTCCAAAGATCGAAGATTGGCCCGGGCTGAAATGAGTAAATCCCGGAAGTGCCCTCTAGAATTTACGGAGGTGTAACTCTATGGTCAAAGTCTTTATTCTGGTTTCTGTTTCCTCCCACCGCCAGGACCCGCCCCATCCTCGGAGAGGAGAACCGCTGGCTGTAGTGTAACCATGACGACAATGGATGATGTTGTTTCAGATCTACCCTATTATTTCACAGGCTTTCAATTTAAATAAATTAAAAAATTTTAAACAGTTGGAAGAAGCAGCCTTTAAGATATAAAGTCAAACTTTCATTCATAAAATATTTTTTGGGCAATACCATGTACCAGCACCCACTGCTGTAGAAGCTGGGGACGGTGAACAAAACCAAACAAAGTCCCCTGTAGTCAATGCAGCTTACATTCTAGTCGAAAACAAATACAGTGACACTTAAGGGGATGCCAAGGAACTCGGCAATCAAGAGAAGTGGAATTTTAGTGCAATTAATTTTAATACAAAAAGTCCATGGTGAACAAATTATCAAAATTTTATATGAAGACAGGATCCATCAGTTACGTGCTGTTAAAATACTATGGAGAAAAATTAATTAGAGAAGGGCACAGGTTGGAGGCCATGTGCTTGCAGTTTAAAATAGGATGATCAAGAAAGCCTCATTGAGAAAGTCACATTTTAGTGAAGACCTGCAGGAGATGAGAGAACTTTGCAGATACCTGGGGGAAGAATATTCCATACCCTGGCACAACAAGTGCAAATGTAATGAGGTGAGAGCTACATATCATGTAACTCTACCTAAGTAATAACAGCTACAGTTTATTGAGTGCTTAAAATGTACCAGACCCAATACAATGCACTGGTGGTTCTGATAGTGGCTCCAAGAACCTCTCAGCTCATCCTGGATCGGCCAGGAGGAACAGGCGTGATCAGTGATGTAATGGGAGCTGGGAAACCTCCTGAGGGAGAGCTGAGAAGGAGATCTTCACTGAGGAGGTGAGCTCGGAGCCTAGTCTGAAGGATGAATGGGGTTTACGAGGACAAGAATGGCAGTGGGAGTGGAGTAGAATGTCCAGGCAGTGAGACCAGGACACTCATGGGCAAGGAATCAGGAAATGATAAGCAGGTGTGGGGGAAGCATGGGGTGTGGTAGGGTTTACGTCTTCTTTTCCCACCGCTCCTAACACAGTGCTTGACGCGTAGGCCAAAACAGTGGTTCTCGACCTTGACCGCATTGGAATCACAGTACGCACCCAGGCCCAGCCCTGAGATGCTGGTTATTGATCTGGGTGGGGCTGGGCATCAGTACCTTATAGTCCGTCAGGTGACTCTAGTATGCAGCCGTGTTTGGATCTGCCGGCCTCAAGTAAAGGCACTAGACAACTGTGCGGGGGGTGGGGGGATGGTGGGTAGATGTTATCATCTCAACAGTCTTACAGTTGAGGAAAATACAGCTTGGGTGGACCACACAACTGCTATCTGCCCAACCAAGCCAAGAGTCTAGACAGTGCTGGGCTGGACCTGAGCTGTTTTGATCTAAGAGTGTGGCTTGGCTTCTGCAGCTCAGCTCTGTGGTCAAGGCTTTGCCTGAGGAGTGCAGTCCCTGAGGTTTTACTGAGGTAGTATTTCCCACGCTTCCTCCTTGTAGGCAGGAGATGAATAATCTTTGGCATATTTTGGGATCCCAAGTAGCCTTATAGTTCTCCCTGCTTCCCATGCACATTATTACATCCCTTCCAATCCTTAGAAAAGCCAGCATCCGTCCCCTGCACCCCGAGGTGTTAATTATTTCTCAATTAGCAGTTCCCAGGCTGTAGAGCATAGTGGTGTGGAGAGGCCTAATGACTCGCTGTGTTTATACACCCCACACCTTCAGAGCACTTTACCAATGGTAACTAATTAATGCTCACGACCCCCTTGGGAGGCAGGCTGAGAAATGCTGCATTTTCCTTCAAGGCTGTGGGAAGCTCTACAGCCTAGAGCTGCAGAGCCTGCTCGAGCCAGCTGGGGGCTAGTACATTTGCTCCCACTGAGGACATCTGGGGTGTTGGGGACCCACAATGTACCCCTATCACTGCTAGCAACTTACTGTGTGACAGGTCAATCAATCAGTTGGTCAGTCATTTACTGAGTGCTCCGATTTACAGCATTTATTCATGGTGGAGACTCCACAAGTGCCCTAAGCCAGGAAAAAAGAGGAAAAAAAACATGACAGAAAAAATTATTTATTGTCACTTAAAACAAAAAAGAAGAAAAAGACCCTACAATTGCCTTGGTGTGTCCCCAGCTCTGGGGACACACCAAGCACTTAACAGTTTGTCTTGGCCCCTGGCCAGACTGGGAGCCCCTGAGGCAGGTATGGGTTTCGCTCTGTTCTGTACCTTGAACACAGAACCTGGCCCAGATGGGTGATTAGCAAAAGGTGTTTTTTGTTTTTCTTTTTGGGTTTTTTTTAAAAGATTTTATTTATTTTTAGAGAGAAGGAAAGTGAAGGAGGAAGAGAGAAATATCAATATGTGGTTGCCTCTCACATACGCCCCACTGGGGATCTGGCCTGCAACCCAGGCATGTGCCCTGACTAGGAATCGACCCGCGGACCCTTTGGTTCATAGCTCAATCCATTGAGCTACACCAGCCAGGGCTGTTTGTTGTTTTAATATATCAATCAACAAATGAACGGGTGGTTTGTCTCTCCCTCAGGTCAGACTCCTTTGAGGACATCCCGAGTCATTCCGGCACCGAGAGCCCATGCCCGGCTCAGAGAGGGGCTCTGAGTGTGTGCTGAACGAACAAGTGAAGGCAGAGTTAATGATGAACTTGCTGACCTCAGGCCGTTCATAACCTCCTGGAGAGGCAACCACGGCTGGGAAAGGCTGGCCAGCTCGTCTGTGGTCAACACCACTAGTCAAAGGGGGAGACAAGGTTAACCTCTGAGTCTGATCTCTGCGCTCACAGCGTCCAGTGGCAGCTTACTTGTATCAAACATGTGGGCCCATAAGCAAAATTGTGAGAACATCACCCAAATGGTCTTTCTGGGTGGGTCCCCTCTGTCTGAAGGCCTGATCTTTAGAGCCCAGCTCAAGGCACCCTCTTTGGTAAGCCTTTCTTGAAGTCCTCACGTGCAAGGATGCCACTCTCCTCAGAATTTTTGTCTGAGTTTACCTCTGGCCATTCACTCTCTGAGCTGTGTGACAGCTAACTGTACGCATTTGATGGGGCAAGTGGGACTGAGTGAAATCCTTGCTTTGCAGCCACTTACCACGCGTCTGTGGGGAAGATACTCAGCCCCCCTGAGGCTCAGCTGCCTCACCTGTAAAACAGCAGTGACTTCTTCCCCTTGGAATTGTGATGCAGATGCAAGGGGTTGGCTCACGTAAAGGGCTCAGCACAGTGCTTGGCACACAGTAGGTCATGCAGGACACCCGAAAAGTTCTTGGGTGTCCTGAACTAAGTCCACAGTAAATCTCAATATCTCTTTGCTGAATCAATGGCTTTCTAGTGAATTCCCTCAATTCTTAAGAGCATGGGCTCTCGGTGCCGGAATGACTCAGGATGTCCTCAAACTGCTAAAAATGCAACCCAACAAAATCTCAGCCATGGTTAATCCAGCAGGCAACAACTCCTTTCTGAGCACCTGCTTTGGGTTAACTCTGTGGAGCACTGGGCAGAGCCAGAAGTCGTCTGGGGCAGAGTGTAGGTGCCCCAGGACTGAGGAAGTGGTCAAATGCCTGAGTTCCGAGTGGGACTTCAGCTTATCTGTGCACTGCGTCTGGAAGGATGATGGACAGCGAGTTCCTTTCAACATGCCTTTGCTTTTTCTCTTTAAGGTGCAGGATTTGGGTGAGGTGTGAGTTAACGAGGTGGCTTAGAAAGTGGGGTAAGGCCTTTGGACTCAGACAGGCCTGGGTTTGCTTTCCAACTCCAGCGCGTCCTGGCTGTGTGACTTGGAGCAAGGAACTTGACCTTTCTAGTCCTTCACTGTACAAAGAGGTCAGTAACCTCCTTGAAATGCTGTGATGAGCAAGCAAACATTACAAAACTTTGTAAGCTGAAAGTTCTGTATTGGAAATGTATTCAGATCATTCTTTTGTAAGATTAAGTGTACAATGGGAAGAAGACTTTTAAGTAACTAAATGAGATTATGTATGTAAAGCACTTGAAGGGTGCCTGGTACCTAGTGCTCAGTATAAGATTAACTTCGTCAATACTCCAGAATGGCTCTTGCATCTGCCCTTCCTCTATCCGGTGGCTCTTTCCTGCCATGTCCACGTGGCTCACTCCTTCACCTACATCATGTCTGCGCTCCAATGTCAGCTTCACAGTTGGGGCTTCCTGACACCCATTTGTTCACAGAAATTCCCACTGCCACCTGCCCCCCACAACATTCCTGATACTCCTTACCTGCTTCATTTTTCTCCACAGCATTTATCACCATTCAACATACTAAATATCTTACCTGGTGTTTGGTTTATTTGTGTTACTTCTCCTCTAGCCCCAGTAGAATGTTAGCTCCACCTAGGAGGGTAGGATTTTTGTTTTGTTCACTGCAGCACCCCCAGTGCCCAGACCAAAGGCACCAAACTTTTTCTATAAAGGGCCAGCCAGTCATAGGCATAAGGCATATCTTATGCCTTGCAGGACGTACTGTCACTGTCACAACTACTCAACTCTGTTATAGCCCAAAAGCTGTCATAGAAGTATGTGAACAAATGAACACTACTGTGTTCCAATAAAACTTTATTCACGAAGAACAGATGGCAGGCTGAATTTAGCCTGTGGGTCATAGGTTACCAACCCCTGGCCTAGATCATTGTCTGTCACATTGTAAATGTTAGATAAATATTTGTTGAATAAATTAATTAGTGAATAAATAAACAAATGAGCACAAGACACCTGGTACGATGCCTGGTGCACAGCTGGTACTCAATAAATGCATATTCCTTTCTGGTTTTTACTTGTCAAAAGATCTCAAAAGAGTCTGAAGCTTTGCTAGAAACAAATGACAAAAAATTACTCAAGGGTCTTCGACTTTTCACACTATGAACACAGGCAAACCCCCAGAAGTGTTTTGAAGAAGAAATTAAGGTTAAGAGTTTTTGTAGTAAAAAGTACATCCTTGGGAATTGTCCGTCCTGCATTCTTAACCCTGGCTTGGTCCAGGAAGGCTATCAGTCAGATGTCAGGGGTCTGGAGAATGAATGTCAGATTGTTTGGGTACCTGAGTCCTTCAAGGAGTAATCAGAGGTTTATCTGGAAGTCTGGTGTATGACCAGATTTATACCCAGGCATCAACACAGGCTTGGAAAGTCCAAAAAATTTAAGTTCCCAGGCCGGTTAGAACAAAAATAGGATAACTCCCCCATGCATTAACCTTCATAATGTTAACAATTTTAGCAGCTTGGTTAAGTGACTCAATTTTATACATTCCCTATCTTCACTCTTTCCTCATAGTTCATGAATGCAACGAGATCGACCATAATGTCTTGTATTAGAGGTACAAATAAAGTGTCAAAGGATCACTGAGGCAGCCAAGTCCTCCTCTTGGGATAAAGAAAGACTTCAAGGATTGAAGGTCTGAAGCTGGGGTCCTCCAGAAGCAGACCCCGAATCAAGGAGTCCAGAGCAAGTAGTTTATTTGGGAGCTGATCCCAGGAAATGCAGGTAGAGGTGTGCGGAAACGAAAGAGGGAAGTCAGGGTGTGGTAATGAACAAGCAGGTGACTGCTGAGGGCAACCAGCTTCAGTCCCAGCGGGACCTCAGGGAGAATGTGGAATTTGTCTCAGAATGATCCGATCTCCCCCTCCGCCTGCCCCCATGAGGCTGCGCTATTCTCTGATTTCCAGTCCCCATTAGTTGAAGGCTGTTCTTGGGGGCATCAGCTGCCCAGTGCTTCAGGTCAGGTAGACAGTGGCAGGGGCTTGCGTAGGATGGCTTCGGCAGGTACCCAGTAGGCCAGGGGAGCGGGGAGATAGGCAGGCACTCAAGTGATGCTTGAGCTGCCCTCACAGGGTAAACTGCCTTCCTGTTTAAGGTGCTGTTTTCAGGTCTTTGATGAAGGCTAAGCCTAATCCTAAGGGAGACTGCCACTAATAGCCGTTTCAGCAGATAGAGAAATCATTTGCATTTGCTGTCCCTGCACCTGGTTAGAAAACTCTGGGAAGGACTCTGATTAGCCCAACTTGGGTCATGTGTTAGCTCTTGTGGTCTGGGCCTGGGGTATTGTGACTGGCAGCCCTCCCCTTCCCTGCAGAGTGGGGGAAGAAGCAATTCCTAGCCCAGGAAGGAGAGGTGGGCTGTTTCCAGTGGGGATGGGCTCTGGGCGGATGAAACAATTGATCTCCAACATAAATGCAGAGGTTCTTTTGTTTGTTTCTTTTATTTTGTAGGTGACAAATAAAACTCACAGAGGAGCTGCAGGTTAATGAAGCAATTTACATGCCATCATTGAACAAGCCCTACCACAGAGCGATTGCCAGGCTCGGAAACATAAACATGAAAAATACATTCTAATTTTTTTGTGTTTAGTCTATACAGCAACACATGTGATAGAAGAGAAACGAATCAAAACCTCAAAACCTCACACAGTTAACAGGCCATTTGTTAGTCAGTTTCCTCATCTGTAAAAGGGAGGCAGTGCTGATACATGGCTCATGGGCTTATGAGGGTGGTTCAGTGAAGTGAAGGCATGTGAAACATGTACCACAGGCACTAGCCCATGGCAGCTTCTCAGTAAGTTGTGGTGGTGATCAAGATGAATATGATTTTCTTTGACCTCCCTGCGGGAACCTTCCCTGCTCAAATTGTTCTTTTGTGGCCACCTAGAGGCCAGCTGAAGCCTTTCTGAGGCTCCACAGGTTTTGCTCACCACTGCGTGCCGAGAGCACCCTCCCTCCAGCCCCCCATCAGAATGAGAGAGTTCATACTGGTGCTCCAGGCAGGAAGCGGGCAGCGAGGGTAGGCAGAGCCTACGCAGCCTGTGGGGAGCGGCTGTGGAGAAGGAGGGAGCGGCCTGTGTCCTCACCCAGCTGCAAGCCTTGCCATTGACTTCAGCCCCACAGAGCTAGGGAGGGTTTCTTGCTGGAAGCACGCCCGCCATGCTGGGGATGTGTTTCCATCTGCTCATTTTACTGCTGAGTTGTAAAGTGCTAAATGTCATTATCCTCCCTTTCCTTAAACAAGAAAAAAGTTAACAGCCTGAGGAAAGGAGATATTTCACTTCATTTGGCATCCAGCCACCATCATCCACACAGGGTGCTCCCTAGGGGGCCGATTAGGGATGGGAGAGCCCTGTTCTGTTCTGCTTCCAGCTGCTAGCGCCACTCTGTGCAGGCTCTGGGCTGGGCGCTGGCAGCTGGAAGCCGGATCAGAGCCCTGTCTGGCCCTTAGCGGAGTAGCCAGCCACCTTCTGAACAACTCAAACACTATAGGTGCCAGTAGAGAAAGAGGGAATAGGGGCCAGAGGAAAGTAACTCATTCAAGGTTACCATACATCTTAGGGTATATTCTGTGTGGCCCCAGCAGCTGAACTTGAATCAGAAGATAAAAACTATAGAAAAGAGGATTTCAACTCGATAGAAAGACAAACTCAAAATATAGACTGGTTGGAAAATGGATGAATTCCTTCAGTAGGTAGTGAGCTGCTTGTCTGCCAGAGGTATGCAAGTGGTTTAGACCCTTCTTTCAGAATAATCACTGCTGAGAGGAGTCCTGCTTTGTATGGAGAGGCTGGGAGAGGTGATAACCAGGGTTCTTTCCAACTCTGAGATTCTGGAAAACTGTGACTGAAAAATTTCACCTGCTTCCCTTTAACATGCCTTACGCCCACTGGCTGAACAGGAGTTTCTAGCCGCCTGATGTTGGCTCCTAGGTACAGAGGAAGGAGTGGGCAGACAGCACGAGGTGTGATTTGTCTTCATTACTCTGATTATGGGGTCATTAAGGCTTTTACTCTGCAGTGCTCCCCTAAGGATCTCCCGCTGCTTCAGCCGTGTGACAGACAGTTGTTCTCCCAGCTGCCCAGTGGGCAGGGGTGTTCTGCAGGGCTCCAAATTGTAATTAAATAAAGATCAGCCATCCACTAGCCTCCTGGAACTAGCCTGAGCCACAGTCCTGGGGGACAGTGAGGTCTGGCCTCAGCAGTGGCTTGCTGGAGAGGGATGGCCAAAGACCAGGTTCGGAGCCCCAGGGACAGCTGTCCTCTCCCCGGCACTGGGCTGGGGAAAGGCCACTGACACAGACTGTGAATGACCGGTGTAGAGGGGACGGGTAACCGGCTCTGCCAGCTAAAACCCTCCATAGCTTCCCATTAGTCTCCGTTCAAGTATCCCCTGCAGCCCACAAGGCCACGCATAAGCTGCTGTGCGAGGTCTAGCCTGCGAGCTCCCTGAGGGGAAGGGCAGGCCTACCTGGTTCTCCACTGGAGCCTCAGAACTTGGAACCATGCTTGGAATTCCACCAGTGCACAGTACGTACTAGCTGAGTGAAGGAATGGAAGGGCTGTAGTCCTCTTGGACCTGATAGAAGTAAACTTGGCAAAGGAAGCAGCCCTAAAAGGGCAGAGAACACCTGCCCAGGAGTCTGGAAGTGGAGTTCAAGTTTGAATCTGTCATCAGTTCATGGCTTGACCTTGGTCAAGTCCCTGCTTTCTCGTCTCAGTTTCCCAATCTGGCCCTTAGTTTCCCAATTGGAGAATTAAAGGACTGGCCTAAGGCTGGAGAGGAGGAGGGGGAAAAGTCCATGTTTTCTGGTTGAGTTTTTGGGCCTCAAGGATCATTGGGCTGTAGACCTGGCCCCAGCCTCAGGCCTGTGGACCTGGTGATGGAGTCACCTGTGTGCGACTGCGTTAGCAGCCTCGTTGCTGTGAGCTCACTCACTTCAATCACCCACACGGAGCCTGTCTCGGTGCCAAGCTCAGTGCAGGGCCCTGGGGCTCAATCGGGTATAGTTCCTGCTGTAAAGAAGTCAACTGGGGCAGGGGTGGGCTGCAGACATGTTGGCAGGATTATGACCCAAGGAGAAGGAAGCAACCCAACGCCGTGCGACACAAGGCCTGAGAGCTGTCCATGCATAAAAGGGAGTGATTAATGAGAACCGGGAGGATCTGGTAAGGCTTCCTGGAGGAGGCATTTCTGAGCCTAGCTCTTCGGATGGAAATCATAGGGAAAAAGCCAGTGGGAGAACAGGATGTACAAAGTCACAGAGGAAAAGCAGTTTGGGAACAAGGAGTCAGTGCACTGGAGGAAGGGATGGGGCAAAGGGACAGTTCAAGTTCGTGATCGCAGACCCAACTCTGGACCGCAGATGACACTTCTCCCAGGAAGAATTGTGTTCCAGGAGGCAGCACAGAACTGGGCAGGTCTGGTCCAGATCCTGGCTCTTCCCATACCTACCCGAGACCTTGGTCAGTGTCTCAGCGTCCTCATCTGTAAAATGGGGATTCGAATGCTACTCCCCAGGGCTGCTGAGACAACCCCATGTGTGAAGCCCCTAGCACATAGGATATGTCCTGGAAATGGGGTTTCCTATCTCTTTTTGTCTTTTGGTCAATATGCGATTACCCCAAGACTAGCGGGTGCTTATTAGTCATTTATGTGAGTCGTGTGCATGAGATTGTCAGAAAAGGTGTTCCAGGAGGAGGAAGCAATGGAGGGAGAAATGCATTACCTCGGGGACAGGAAAAGCAAGAAAGGAAACAAACTGGGAAGCCTGGAGGAGCAGAAAAACCTCACCGACTTCCTAGTTGTGCCAGCAAACCACCTGGACCTCAGTTTGCGTGAGGAAGCAGAAGAAAGGGATGGTTTCCCATCGTGGGTGTGGGAGGGGTGGAGGGAGGAATAGACAGGGCTGCGTGTGCTGTGGAGTCACGTCCGGGACTCTGCGACAGCGGAGGTGAGAGGAAGGCGGGAGAGCATGTTACTTGCCCAAGTGCTGAGCCACGAGGAGCCAGGAGGTGGAATTTAGGGACCCTAGGGTGGCCTCACTGTCCCGATCTCACAGGTGCCTGGAACACTAACATCAGCGCTAGAGCTTCACCCCGATGGATATCAGTGCCCCATGTGACCGGCGACACACATAAGCACTTAATGCTTTGGTGTTCATCAGTGTATTAGCGTTTTTCCAAACCTGAAAAATGCTGACGGCAAGTCTAAGGTACAAAGGACGAGAGGCTAAGAAGTGTGAAGTGTGACCTTGGGCAGCCATGTCCCTGCGAGGGTTCAGTCCTCCCGTCCGCACAACAGGAGTTTGGGGACGTGCGGCCTCTCAGGACCGCACCTCTCAGCCCGCTCTCCCTCTGTCACCGGAGATGTGAGAAGCCATGCTGGGGTGCTGGCCTATCCCTGGTCACTATCTGAGGATCAGAAATATGAGGAAAGCAGTGAGTGTAACGCTCTAAAGAAAGGAGCAAATGCAAAACTGACCACAAACCACCACGGGGCCTCGCCATTGCAGTTATGTGCAACTGGCTTTCCTGGGGTCTGGCGAGAACCTAATCTGGAATTTTACGCTAAGTAGTTCCTGTAGGCAGGGCCGCAAAAATCCAGGTTGGCCATTCCAAGATTTGGTGGCAACCAGACTCTAAGTCTTTGACAATAAAATTCCACAGTTAAGGCTCTAAGTCTAAGATTCCAAGAGAGTAAAATTTCAAGTTATTTTTCACTCTGTTGTGGAAGGTTCAAGACTGGGAGCAGGTGGCATTGCCTGATGGGTGGGTCTCTAGGTTCCCAGGACAGGGAAGTCTATGGTGGGCTTCATTCCTTGACTGGGACCCTTGCAGACCACACCGAGCACAGATGCGGCCTCTGGAAGATGGCCAGCCAAGTAGGGAAGAGGCCTGAGCACAGGGGTGTGGGCCGCTGCCCTGCCCCTTACCTGCTCGCTGTGCAGCTTTGCCCTCCACTCTAGCCATGGCTTTCTGGCCCGAAGGGCCTATGACACCCACTCCAGTCAACTTCAGTAAGGGCTTTGATATAGGGTAGCGTTGCTCATGGGAATCCACAGACACTGCGGGCTCAGGAATTGCACCACAAACTAGAAAACCGCCAAAATGGAGACGGTTATCTGATGTATCTGTCAGGAGAGTCGCAGCCATCTTATGTTCTCTGCACATTTGCCCAATTCTGTCCTTTAATTGGCAGTTTCTGAACCAGGCACCTTCTACCTCCCTGGGCATGTCAAACTGCCCTACTGTCTCAAGGTCCCCATTCCGATTCCTGACAGAGAAGCTGATTGACTCTGATGGAGGAGCCCTTGATGGGGTCCCTCAGAAGGAGAACGCTCGGCGGCCCCGCGGTGCCCCCGTGCCCTCGCCTTCGTGTTCCATGGTCTCGAAGAGCAGCCGCACCAATGACAGCCGTCCCTGGTCCACCAAGGCCCGGGCCAGTCCCAGCACCTCGTCTGTGTGGCCGCGCCACACACGCTGCAGCTCCTGGCGCAGGCGCACCGCCGGATACTTGTCCTGGGCGCAGCGCAGCCACACGTCCACTTCGTGGGCCAGCTCGCCATCGCTCAGCTGCGCCTGGCTCCATTGCGCCAGCAGCGCCTCCAGCAGGCAGCCGAAGCCTTCGGTGTGGCTGGAGCCCCTGTCGTCCAGCTCCACCACACGTTTGAAGCAGGCCGCAGCGTTGGCCTCCTCGCCCTTGATGCGCAGGCACTTGCCTCGCAGCAGCTGCAGCTCAGGCAGCGTGGCGCCCAGCTCTGACTCGCCGGCCTTGGCCAAGAAGACCAGCGCTTGGTTCAGCGCCGCCTCATCCACTGCCAGCAGCTCCTGCATTGCATCCACACCCATGTAGTAGTAGACCTAGCGTGGGGTGGGGGGGGGACAAGGGTGAGCTTTTCAAGCCTCCTCCCATCCCCCACCCCATGGCTGCTCCCCAAATTCCAGCCTCCTCTCTTTCCACGGTTATTCACTGAAAAGCTTGGTCCCCTTCCCTGGAAAAGGAGAGTCAGCACTGACTGCAGTTCTAGCCCTGCCACTCTGGGCCACAAAACCGTGAGCAAGGCAATTTCTGGGCCTCGGTTTTCTCATCCGTAAAATATGATCTTATCACCTTTTGATAATCATTCCCTATGCACAGAAGGCACTTCTGGATAGAGAATAATAATGGTCCACATTTTCTGAGTGCTTAGAAAGAGTGAGGCCCTGTCCTAAACGATGTACATGCATTCTCTCATTTAATCCTCACCTGTAGGAGGTGGGTACTGCTATCAGGTAGGAAAATGCCTCCTAGTCCTCCCTGTGTCCTCAGTTCCCAGGCCTGGCCTGACAGAAAGTAAATGTGTTCTTAGTAAGCCATTGGTTATGCAAGCCCGAAGACTGCCTTACCTGGCCGATGTCCAGGTACGTCTTGAGACCCGGGCACACCTTGACCACTTCCTCGAGGTCCGCCTTGGCGCAGGTCAGGTGGTCCCTGTCAGGCATGCCTCCGAGCCCCACCTTGACCCGCTCCAGGTCCTGGAGGTAGGCTCTGATGTGGATCTGTCCACAAAGACTCAGCTCAGGGAAGACGCTCCAAGCAAGGAGCACCCACCCTAAATGAAGCCGATCTTTTTCTCAATAGCAATTCAGGGAGGTTCTGTGGTGCAGCAGAAAACCCTTGAGCCAGGAGTCCTAGGTTCTAGCCCTGTGCCAGCTTGGGCTAGCCACTCCCCTTTCTGGGTCTTAGTTTCCCTGTCTGTACGGTGAGTGGGTTGGATGAAGTAAGAGCCCTCCATTCACTCAACGAATATGTACTGAGTGCCCGCCATTTGCCAGGACCTATGCTAGGTCTGAGGGTGCAATGGTGATAAGACCCGTGAGGTCCCTGTGCTGGCGGAACTTAATGTTCTAGTTGGAAGAAGATCACGAACAAGTAAACGATACCATTTCAAGTGGTGATAAGTGCTGTGAAAAAATAAGCAGGGTGATGGGATTGAGGTGCCTGGAGAGAGGGTTATTTTAGATAGGATGGCAGCATCGATTTTGTGGAAGTTCACGTAAACAAGCAATTTGGGAAAAATAGCAGGTGGTCCCAAAGTACAGGCATCAAATTACAAATGATTCCAGGCCCTTGATTTCATCTCTACTTCTTCCTTTTTCCCCCATCCTTGGAGCATTTATAAAATCTAGAGATTCAGGAGGGGTAAGGTAGGGGTGAAGAGGTGGAAGTAAGGAAAAGGGGGGGGGGTGTCCAGTGTTGTTGAAAGTATTAAAGCCTCATAGCCAACAGGGAAGGCTCTGGTCCTAAGAGAGCATCACAAGGTGGGGGATGGAGGAAAAGGGGTGGGGAGTTGGGGAGCTCTGGTTTGGTTGTCAGTTGGCCTTGGCTGAATTGCAGCCCCGCCCCCCTTGTTAGCATGTGAGCTGGGGGAGTTGCTGGACCTCTGTGAGCCTCATTTTCCACATGTGAAAAATCAGTACACTGGTATCTTCTTTGGGGAGTTACCATGATGACTGAGAGGACGTGTTCCAGCCAGGACCTAGTGTACGGTAGGTGTCAAGTTCATTCATTCACTCATTTATTCAATAAATATTCATCAAGAGCCTGCTGTGTGCCAGGTGCTGTTCCAGGAACTGAGGGTGTACTGGAGAGCAAAATGACAAAATTCCCTGCCCTCATGGAGCTTATATTTTAGAGGTGGGGAGAGACAAAACACATAATAAATAAGCAAATAGTATGTTAGGGAGTGCTGAGTGCAGAGAGGTTGCCCTGGCTGCTGTGGATCAGTTGGAGGGCGCATGGCCCCGTAAAACAGAAAAGTGGTGGGTTTGATTCTGGCGAAGGCGCAAGCCTAGGTTGTGGGTTTGGTCCCAGTCTGGGCCTGTACGAGAGGCAAGTGATCAATGTTCCTCTCTCACCCCAGTGTTTCTCTTGCTCTCTCTTTTCCTCCCTCCCCCCTGTCTAAAATCAATGGTCCTCAGGAGAAGTAAAAAAAATTTTGTTTTAAATGTTGAGGAGTTGACATTTTCAGTAAGACAGTGCGAGAAGCTGCCTCTTTATCAAGACTTCCAGGATGTGAGGGAGGAAGCCAACCGAACACCTGGAAGAAGAGCCTTCTACACAGAAGTCCTGAGGAAAGATTGTGCCTCAGGGACAGCATGGAGACCAGTGTGACTGGAAGAGGCTGCTGAGCGAGGGGTAGGCAGAGGGAGGCGATGAGCCGGGTAGGGTCCTATGGGTCACAGCCTCATGGGTCGGGACTGAGGCTTTCGCACGGGTAATGAGTTCCCTTCCCTTCTGTTCCCTCCACTGCCCTGTCCCCAGCCCCCATCCTGGTGCTAGTGTGGTCATCTGAGTAGTGTGCAACCTTTGGAGGTGCAGGGAGCCAGTGAGCGGGACGCATGCTAATGATGGGGTGAGGATATTTTTAAATCAGTCCATGAATGTGAAAGTGCTGGGTGAAATGCATTGTTAGAGGTGTTTTATTATTTACTATCATGATTAATATCATTACTGTTGATAGTAACCACATCTGCTACAATGAATGAATATCCTGCCTACTACCGGCTGACAAAATGATTATGTCACTGAGACCAAGAACAAAGGAGCAGATTCAAAATCACGTCCTGAGGAAGGCAGTAGAGAAGATAGGAGGGGCTCTTTAGCCTGGAGGGAAGCAAGCTCAGAGCTCCAAGTCTCTGTCCCCAAGCAGAAGGGCTACGTGGTTACTGGAGATCCAGAGAGTAGATCCGGGACCAGTGGGGGAAGGCAGAGGGAGATAGGTCTCAACTGAATTTGTAACGTGCAGAGCTGAATGGCTACGTGGTGGACTGCTTCATGAGACAGGAAACCAGCTATAAATATGCCTAGTAACAACAACCCATCACTTATGAGCTCTTCCTATGTGCTTGCTCAGTGCTGAGTTTTACAGAGAATCTAATTTAATTCTCACAACAACTCTCTGAGGTAGGAATGATCATCTGCAGTGAGGCTCAGAATTTGGGCAAGACAGTATGTCTACAGTCCTGTAGTATGTTAGGTGTTGGAACCTGAACCAAGACTAGTGTGTCCGGAGCCAGAGCTCTGACCGACTGCCGCCTTAGACTGCCCCTGACGCACCCCACTGCCCTTCTCAAGCACCTCCCATGCCCCAGGCATGAGGCATGCGATGTTACTTCTCTTAGCCTTCTAGACTTAGTTGTCTTCTGACAGCCTTTTAAGACAGATGTTATTACTTATATCTTCCAGATTTGGAGGTTTGAAGGGGGAAGTGGTTTGCCTCCAGCCCCAGAGTGATACATGGAGAGGTCAGATTTCAACCCAGGACAGTCTGACTACACTGGGTACTAATCAGGAAGAGGCTGCAGGTCCCAGACTGGGGAGGCTATTGTAGAAGGGGAGCTGCAGTGGATAGGAGGGTTCTTTATTCTTTCACTCAGCAACGTACAGAACAGAAACCGTGCACCTCCATGACTCCTAAGCTCCTTTCTGCCACGAAGGCTCCAATATCTTTGGGTTCTAGCAACAGGGTCCTGGCCTGTGGTCCTCGTTCTCTGATTCCCGGTGGCAGGAGGAGATGGAGTTAAAGGGCGACTCACCTTGGCCCTCGTGCAATACGCCTGCCAGTTGAGCTCTGGATCCCGCAGGACATCCAGGGCCATGTTGCAGGTGCCAATGGCCATGTCCTGTTTTCCTAGGAAGTGGAAGATCTTGGCCAGGCGATTCAGGATTGGGGGTTGGTCCTTGGCAATCTCAATGGCCTGGGTATGGGCGGAGGACAACAACAATTTGTTTGTCTGCGAGAACTGGCTAAACAGGGACCTTCAGGAGCCCTGTTGCTGGATGGAGCCATTCCGTTGCAGTGTTCTTATTTCCCGAATCGACCTGCCAGTGAGCCCAGTCTCTGCATGGAGGCCAGCACTTTGGGGTGCAGCTCATTGGCACGCAACTGTCGACACCTCGACCCCTGCCATGCTCTCCACCACATTCATGGGTCCTGTCCAATGAACCCCTCTGGGCCCCAGACAAACCCCTCTTCCTCAGACACGTCCAGTGTGTTCCCCTCCATCTCCCCAGGGTGACTGGGAGCAGGGGCCAGAGCCAGCCTCTGCCTCCCTGTACCTAGTGCAATGTCTCTGTCCAGGCCCCCACACTTACCCCTGTATCTGTACTGCTGGCTGCCTGGGCTGCGTTCTTTGTTGCCCCTGAGACGGCAAACTCTGCAGGGCAGGGGCCCTGTCTGTCCGTCTCTTTGCCCCAGCACAGACTAGGTTCTCAGGGAGGGAGAAGCAGCATTTTTCTTAAGTTGGACACAGCTCTCACAACATGCACGCACCAGTGTCAATGCTCTGCTCTCTTCTAAGATCTCTCATCAAGAAACTGCTCATCACCCACCAGCACACACTGGGAATGTGCCCATGCAGGGCTCGGTGCTGACTGCATAGGCGAATGACAATCCCAGGGTCCCTGGCCCCAGGAAGACCTCAAAACTGCGATGAGTGTAGAAAGTGCCACACAAACACGGTGCCACACACAAGGCTTGAACAGCACTTTACAGTTTACAATGAAAAGTTTTGTCTACTAATTCCTTTGCGTCTCTCCATCATCTAGAAGGTGGGCGGGTCACATAATTTACAGGAAAGGAGGCTCAGGGATGGGGTGGAAGTGACTCACCTTAGAGTCACAGGGCCTGGGGGCACAGCTGGCTCAAGACCCTGGCTAAGCCCAACCCCTTCCCACCAGGCCACTGGAGGAAGGGAGGGGCATGTCAACCGAGGCCTGAGGGCACACATGGATTGTGTGGAACAGCGTAGGAGACAAGTCTGGAGTCTCAGGCGTGGGCCACACTGGGTGTGGGGAGGGCCTGATTCTTAGGCGAAGGGGATCGATGACAAGGGAGCACTTTTGTTTCGTGTGCGATGGACAGAAAGGTCTGGAGGGAGGGCACTTCCTGGGTGAGCACACCCTGGGGGGGTGGAAGTGGGGGACGACACCCAGGGAGGCGGAGGGCTCCGGAAGAGGAGGGTGGGTGGTGGCCTCCGTCCCCATTTGGAGAGTGGGCGGGGCTGGGGCACATACCTTGCCAAAGCAGTCCAGGGGGTCGGTCCCTGAGAACCCGCAGTCGTGGATGCCCATGGGCGTGGTGGAGAAGGAGTCCTTCCTCTCCAGCAGCATTCCGAGGTAGCACCAGGCCAGAGCTGAGTGAGGGTGGGAGAGGGGTCTCTAGGAGGCAGCAGGGAGGAAAGGGGGAGAGAAGCCACTAGGAGGGAGGGGCCAGCAGCACCAAGGGGTCAGCTCCCAGGGAGACGAAGGGCAGGTCAGTGGTGTGAAATCACAGAGGGCCACTTAAGGACCAACCGAGAGAAACAAAGGAAGGGAGAGATGTGTGATTGAATGGGTGAACACACTGTCATGCTCAATCTGCGTTTACTGTGTCACTTAGGTCACCTCTTGGAAGGTGCACAGCTTCTCTGCTCTAGCTCGTCACCAGCTCTGAAGTTCTAGTCCCCGTCCTAGTCGTGGGGCCCTGTGAGAAAGGACTGAACTCCTGCGAAGCAGGGCCTTCCATCCCAGCCAGAAGGTCGGGTGAGAGGCTGAGACAGAAGCTGTCTCTTGCACGCTAGGTCTTGAGACACCCGCCTGGAAACATGCAGTTGTAGTGATTGATGCATTCACCTGTGCAAGGTGAGTGAGCTCTTGAGATGAACAAGTGAACATGAGATGGAGGGTGAGGGAGAGAAACAGGGTCCCAAACAGGCAGTGCCGGAGGTGGGGCCAATGACAGAGACAGGTGACAGAGACAGGAGCCTGGCAGAGGCTGCTCTGCCCCCTCCCCGAGAGCCCTACCTCGGTAGTGGGGGTCCGGGGACTTGAGGACTTGCCGCAGCAAGGCCAGTGTGCGGTTGAAGGTGGGCAGCCTCTTCTGCTCCTCACTGCCCAGCTCCAGGAAGATGCCATCTAGCCTGTGGCCAAAGAAAGGACAGGGCCAGTCGGTATCCCCTCCCCTAGCTGTCCCCAGCGTGCTATGAGTCCTCCCTTTCCCTGGCCAATGGTAGGGAGGGAAACTTGGGGAGCCCTTGCCATGGAGACGGGCTCAGCTGCCTGTCCCCTGGGTTCCAGGCCGCACCTCCCCCCATCCCATGCCCCTCTTCCCAGCCTGACCTGATGAAAAGCGTTGCCATGGTGAAGTACCAGCCCCTTTTCTCCTCCATGGGGATCTAGGGAAGCAGAGAATGGCCCGTGCTGCTGTTATTGAGGTATTCAGACTATTGTTCATAGATTTGCATACTTTCTCTGAACCCCGAGAAGTCTCTTGGCTCTGCCATTGACTGGCCAGATGACCTTGGGCAAGTCACTTCGCTTGTCTGACCACAGAGGATGTGACGGATAACGTGTGGGAAGACCCTACGTGAGGAGCCCATCACACAGCCAGTGTGGGACACACTCCTTCCCGGGCCCTCCCCTGGGTCCCCACCTGTGTGCTGCATGCCCCCACCCTGGGGCCCACACTCCACTGGTCACCTTCTCTCCCCCACTGTGCCTCAGCTCCCCCCTTCCTGAGAAAGCTCCTTTGGGTATGCTGAGTGCGTTCAGCTTCAGCCCAGGACCCCCCTGAACTGTCTCCCATTGTTATTCTTGCCAACCTTGCCGTGCATTTAGACTGACTTGGGCACCAGATAAAATATTTATGCTGTTATTTATGGGAGTAGCTGTTCCTGCCTCGGGAAGGAATGTTAATGAAAACCAATAAACCCCCAGTGCATATCGGCAGCTCTGCCTCAGGCTCCTGCCCCTCCCTCTGCATTCATCTCCTGCCCATGGTCTCCAGAGTCCATTCTGCATTCACCCTGCACCCCACTATGGCTTCCTCAGCTCAGGACCCCCTCATCCCTCCACTCCCACTCCTAGCAGGCGGGGCAAATACATTCAGCCCAGCCAGCACCTCTGGGCATCCTTGGTGCGGGGCCCTTGTTGGCTACTCGGGGAATGTGGAGCCGAGTGGGAGCTGCACCCTGGCCCACGTGAGCTCACACCTGGCTGGGGAAACAGATTCAGGCCTAAATAACTGGGCTTGACTGAGAGCCTGCCCATGCCAGGATCCTATCGATCACCTCGATCTCACGACACCTATGAGGTGGGTGTCATCCCATTTTACAGAGAAACATCCCATTTTACATTTTACATTAAGGCTCAGAGAGGTAAAGTGACTTGCTCAAGTTCACATAGGGTTGGGGTGTCAGAGCTGGGACTCAGACTCCCTTTGTTAGGCTCCAAGGCCCACGCTCCCCTCACCACCCCTGGTTGCCAACAACGGCAGTGCAGGGCGGGGTTCCATGCAGGCCCTAGGAGGGATGCAGACAAGTACAGCAGGATGGAGAGTCCACCGTAGCCAGAAGACTCTGAGAAAGTCCCACAGAGGACAGTCTGTGATGTGGGTCTTGAATAGCAGAGGTGCTTCAGAGGGAGGGTAGGGACAAGGGCATTCCAGATGGAGGGCTCAGCATGGAGAGGTGCAGGCGGCCTGTGAGTGGGGAGCATGGTGTGTGTAGATGTGCGTTGGGGAGCTCAAGCTTGCAAGTTATGTTGCAGCTGCTCTGGGGAGGCCATGGATGAGCGTGGAGAGAGGATTGTGAGTCAGCCCCCACTGAGTGAACTAGGCCAGACCACCAAGAGGAGTCCTCACTAACGGCATTTCTCAGCCACTGTTCCCCAATACCTTCCTGTGTGGCCCAGGCTGGGCAATGGGGATAGGAGAGGAAAGAGGCAGGTGCTCCCGCTCTGGTGGGAAAGTCAGAGCCAAAGGCACAGAGTAAAGGAACCCAGGGGCAGGGGAGGAGGCATCCTACATGACAGAGGGGCACCCCGGGGCTTCCAAAGGAGGACGAGCTGGAACAGGTTCTCAAGGACAAGTAGGAACACCACAGTGGATATGGTGAGAGAAGGCATTCCAGATGGAGGGGACCTCATGTGCAAAAGCTCAGAAATGAGTGAGCATGGTGTGGGGGGCTGCAGGCAGCCCCAAAGGGCTGGAACCCCAGCCGTGAGGGGTGGAGGGTGAGCCAGCAGGGGTACCCCAGGAGGAGCACCTAAGTGCTAGGCTCAGAACCTGGAGCTCATCTGCAGGGCAGTAGGGACCCATAGAAGGGGTCAGAGCTGGGGAGTGCCAAAATCCAATGTGTCTTTACATTCACATCACTTGGAGAGTAATCTTGTTACCTAGGAGGGAATATGTGTATGGGGCTGTAGCTAGGACAGGGCTGTCCGGAGGGAAGAGCTGCAGGTCCTGAGTGTTAAAGGGTACCCTTGAGAGCTCAGTGGGGAACACTGGCCAGGGTGAAAGTCTGAGATAGGCTGCTGGGCAACCTTACCTGCTGCACCTACACAGGACCTGGGCTGTGGGAAGGGAACTCGGGTTCACGGGCCACTACTGTGGGCCAAGCTGGCTGAAGACCTGGACATAATATCAACTCCCCGCCATGGGAAGATCGAAGGCAGGAGTGCCTCAGGCTCCCCGGCTGCTAGTCAGTGTGATCTCATGACCTTTGACCTTATGCTCACTTTGAGGTTGGTCAAGCTGAGTCATGATAGGGAGAGACAGGACCTGTTCCCCCTCTCAGGCTCCTTACGAGGAGGAGGTGTAGCCACAGGACAGAGCAGGTGTAGCAGACATGGGGGCTGTAACACAAAGAGCAGAGGCCAGGTGGCCAGCACTGCGCCCGTGAGTTACCCCTCCACAGGTGGATGGTAATACCGACCTCTTGGGCATTGGGAAACAGTCCTAGCCTGGAGTACTTGCTCTGTTAATGTTTGCTCCCTTTCTCCTCGTTTTGGTGAAAGCTGAATGGAGTGGGGGTGTCTAGGAGGCTGCTTTGTGTACCGTGACCAGTTTCAGGCCCATAAGGGGCAATGAGGCCTCAGGCCCTGCAGTCCAGAGGCAGCCTGACTCACCCCGCTCTCCACACCCTGCTGTGCTCCTGGTGAGGGATCCCCGAGGGCCCCAGGCACCTTCCTCACTTCTACAGGTCCCCAGTTTTGGGCAGTGATGGATGTGGTGTCCTCAGGGCTCTCCCTGGTTCATAGCCACTCTCTTATTTGGCATTCAGGTTTCGAGGAATTAAACTGTGTGCCCAGCCACACAGTACATGACAGGTGGGACTTAAACTCACGCCTTCTTGGTCCTGGACTCAGGCCTTGTCCATAACCCTCAATTATTTTGATCAATATCCTTATTATATCTCTGAGGACACTGAGACCACAGAAGTAAAGCAACTTACCAATGGTCACACAGCGGTTAGTGTCGAGTCTTAAAATCCAGCGGTTTCTCCATCACTCATATTGAGTAATTCAAGTGCCTGGTTATGAGTTTGAACTAAGCAAGCAATACTACCACCTGGTGGCAGTATACCTGAATTGCAGGGACAGCTATTAAGAGTTTACTTGCCTTCCCCTTTTAACTTGAAGATTGAAACTGATTTTCAGAAGAGTAGCTAGCCAAGTGACATCAGTGTGACAAATCCCAAGCACAGTCCTTTATTAGATTCCCACTTAAGAGTTATATTTGCAGAAGGGCTTATGGGGTTGCAGATTCAGAATGGAGTTAATTGTATAAATGGATCTGGTCTGAAGCCTTCCTGTGTGCCCTAAGGTGTAATCTTCTCTCCCTGTGATGAAGCTGGTGGATGCCGTTCCCTCTGCTGTGCAATTCTGGCCCTAAAATGGGCTGTCTCTTTAAAAATCCTTCTGGTTGTAACTGAAGCAGCAGCTGAAGCTGTTACCAGGGGCAACCTGGCAAGCCACAGTGCGTTAAATTAAATTAAACAGGCCTCTGACTGTTCCCTCCCCTCCTGGAGAAGGGAAGGGCTGTTCTACCTCTCTCCTGGAGAATCAAGTTGCTGTGAAACCTCTTATGCTGCAAGGAATTTGCTTCCAGAGTTGATGGCTCCCAGAGGCGAGATGTTTGGAGGCAGTCTGGGAGGGACAGAAAGGATCTCTGTCAGGAGGGGAGCGTTTGCTGAGGGCCTGCCTGGTGTGGGCTCAGGGCAGGATGTCTCCCCCTTTCTCTTGTTCCGTTCCTACGAGGACCCCATGAGCTGGGCTGCTGGGGGTCTACACAGGGAGGGGGGACTGGCCAGTGTGTGAGTCAGCCCAGGCTTCGGGCTGGAGGGGTCTCAGATTAAGCTACTGCTCTGTGGCCAGGCGCTAGGCAAGGCCCCAGTGCCAGCACCGAGCCTGATTTGAAACCCTCAGACCTCGGTACTCACTGAAGACGAGAGTGAGGAATAGGCCTTGGGCGAGGGCTTCTCGGGACATCTCCCAGCTACTCGGGGCTCTCGTTATTCTTTCCCTCATGTTAGACACGGGGAAACTAAGCCTCAGAGAGGCAGAGGCTTGCCTATTTAGCCTGGTACTGCAGGCCAGGTCTCTCTGACTTCACGTTCATGCTGTCCCACATCTGGCTGCAGGTGTTTGTATAGGGCTTATCGTTTAAAAAGTGCACTCACACAGGCTCCACTCGACCCTCAGAACACCCTGCGTGGAATGTTAAGTGGGTCCTCATTACCCTTTTAGTACAGATGGGAAAACTGAGGCGAGATAATGTCCTTGATATCATATGGCTGGCGGGTGTGGAAGTCTGCACTGAAACCTGGAAATGGTGCTTTTTTATTTTTATTTTTTGCTATGCTAATCGCAGCAAAGTTTATGGAGCACTTGCTATACGCTGGGCACATAGTTTACATTCATTAACATACTCGGCCCTCTCCAGGTTAGCCTATGAGGTAGAGACATTTATTGTCTCGATTCTGCAGATGAGGCAACTGTGGCCCCGAGTGGCACAGCTAGAAGGTAATAGAACCGGGAACTCGGCAGCTTAGCCTCCAAGTCCCTGCACCCAACTGCCCCAGACTAGCGGTTCTCAGCGCGTGGGCCCAGGATCTGCCGCCTGGGCATCATCTGGGCATTTGATAGAAGTGCAGATTCTTGACTCACTGAATCCCAAACTCTAGGGTGTGGCCGAGCTACCAGTGTTTTCACAGGCCCCCCCAGGCCACACCCTCGTTTGAGAACCACCACACAGGCTCTCTCTGTACCACACCACGGGGAGCCTTGTGAGGACAGGCTGGCTGGTGGGTCTTTTTTAAAATGAGCGGAAGGGATCAGCAAGGAGATCCTCAGAGAAGCCTGAAGATTTAAGCTGCTACAGTTCCACGGGTGAGCG